TGGCAATTTTTGCTATCATCACTTCGTAGCAAGAACCTGGAGTTGGGTGATTTTAGACTATTCTTATTAATAAAAATCCCATATTTTCATATGACCTAGTTAAATTCTAGCACATTGAACCAAACAGGAGGAAGTATAAGCGTTGCGGGGGTAGATTCAGTAACACTTCAACTGCAGTCCTTAGTAAGAAATGGTGCGGAAGCATCACTCTCTCATCACTCTGGGCTAATTCAAATTAAAACGAATATGCATGCAATAGATGGAATGTGCTGTGACAGAATTTGCAGTGAGATAGTATGGCCAAAGGCCCTAAAAAGCTTGAATCGTATCAGCAGGCTATCAAATAAAGGCATCATGTGACTTATTAAATATCCCAATGAGCTGCTTTCATAAATAAATAACTAAATAACTAAATGCACACTTGATCACACTCCATGCACCAGAAAGCAAAAATAATTTAAAATTTAAGGTCTTTTCCAACGCCCAACATTAAAAGGCATTATGATTTTTCAGACGACAAATCGCTTTTTTCCCCTTGTCCTTCTGCTGCAGATATCAATAAATAACACACACAGGCTGAAAAAGTTTGTGCAAATGCTTAGCCAGTGCAGGGGAAGAAAAGAGGCAACGGCAGGCAAGAAGGATGGTTTTGTTATTGCATGCATATTGTAAAATACCTGGACTCTGACTTTGCGAAATGATGACAACATGACGAAGGAATGCAGGCTCTAAAAGGGAGGAGCACTCTCAGTATTTCACTGGGTATAAAGCACGAACGTAAAACGGTGCAATTGCATTTCAAGCTGCGTGTTCCCCTCTACCGTTCTAATATGACCCGAATGAAGCCTTTTTTACACAGCTCTTCGTGGAACCTGTAACACACTTAACATGCGAAGCAGGTTTATCCGTGGCCCTCCCAAGCACACACTCCGCTCTGTCGGGCTGAATACGCGGGGCAGCAGGGCTAAGCTTAAATATTAAACATTTCCCCTTGCTTGGAACAGTCGCCATCTCCTCTTTGTAGTTATCTGTGGGGAGGCAGCTGTTCAGACAGCAGCACTGCGAACAAGTCTGAAAAGCAAGGCAATTTACCTGGGAGTAAGTCCTTGCACCTGCTCACTAAACTCCGTGCTGTTTCATGCAAGGAATTGTATGCTCCGTGCTGTTTCATGCAAGGAATTGTATGCATCTCCTTCTTTGATAGGAAATAGCAATTAAGGAGCCCTATTTAGTACCGTACGGGCTGCCGTTGATCGGAGCCTGAGTCTCAAACAGCCACGGGATTCTGGAACTGAAGTGAGCTTGGCACTGACTTCCTACCATCTGCAGTCTGCTCCACCCAGTTATCTTGGAGCAGATTCCAGATATGTGCGATGAGGAGGGAGAATATTACAGCTATTGCAACAGGGGAACATCCTCGGTTGGGTTAATACAATAATGAGCAAACGTATTTCCTCCTTCCGAACATAAGCAAAGAAAACACAACCTAACTCTGGAAAAGAAAAAAAAAAGGTTACGTTTTAACACAAGATGTAAGTCCAATAGTATTTTCTTGAGGACGGACAATTCCACATGCAAATTAACAGGATAAATTCATTATTGCTGGAAGGTTGGCGAGTTACAAAGTACCAGGTTTTTGTTAATTTTCCTACTCCAAAGACTAAATTTTAGAAATAAACTGCTGTATGTTTATCAGTTCAGTTCTTTCCACCATCTCAGTCTTTTGATTTTCTTAAATCTGGAGAATTATTATTTCTTACCACTGTAGCAGAACTATCCCCACCACCATAGAAAAACCCAGACTTTGTTCATTTCTGGTCTAATGTTTTATAAAACCAGGCAAGGTATATTTTATGTAACAGCTGCTGCTGCACAATGCATTTAAGATAGTATCTTATTCCATAACAAACACTGCCTGGAATCTTCTGGTAACTTGGTGCAGTATCTGTTTTTTAAAATATCCTTGGATGAGATCTGTTAATCACGAGATACAAAGAACTCTCCATAATTAGCTTTTCATGAAATTATTACTTTCATTGTCTATGACAGAAAAATATTGTCCAATACCAAGCTTAATGACAGTCTGGGTTTAAGAAGAAAAATCTGCAAGGTGAAAAATAACTCTGGGAGTATGACAAATACTTCACTGAGTGTGAAAATGACTCAGATACAACTGCAGAATCTGGGAGGGGGGACTAAGGTGGCAAAATAATGTATATCTCTAATAGTAAAAAAAAAAAAAAAAAGGACACAAGAACAAACATTAACAAAAATAAAACAGTTTCAAAACCCCATTATCTGTGGCTAAATTTGCCATAGGTGGAGATTAAACTTGCAAAAGAGAGCAAAGGCTAATACATACTTTAAGTGCATAAAAATGTTCTCTGTTAAAGCTGGAGCTCTGAAAAAGGACAAAGGATCTGGATAAAGAGGACATAGTCTCGTATTTATGTCTGAAACACCCCTCAAGACAAGACAAGTTGAACATTCGGAGAGAGATTCCATTGTCTTTAGCGATTGCGCTGCTTCTCAGGGGGTTTATTTACGGAAAAGCATCCTCCCCGTTCAACAGGGAAGAAATTGGTATGCAGCCCGTGTTTCAATTACCTGATTTATTAGGCAGAGCTGTGCGACACTGCTGAATCGAGAAACCCTTCCCCTTCGGAGCCGTGCAGAAATTCGCTCCACCCGCTGCTGCTCTCCATCTCCCGACCTTGGGCAGGGCTGAGTGCGCGAACATCAAGGGAAGCCATTGCTGCAATGCACAGGCTGCCTGGAAATGCTCCGCATCTTTTCTACGTGAAACTGGAGTGCTGCCCTCTCGAATCGGGGTGGGGCGCCTGCCTTCCCCTCGCTCATTTCTTTATCTTTTTGGGGGGCTGGGGGCTTGGTGTCACAGCTCATTTGCCAGGGAGACCGAGTCCATCCCAGAGGCTCTGAATGAGAGTCCTGCTGCTGCTGCTACCTAGGGCGGGTCCTTTTCTTTCTCCCCGGCGCCCAGCAAAAATACAATGTCGGCTCCACCATCCTCTCCAAGGGCAGAAGGAACAGCCAGTCCATCTGGGCCAGGAAAGCAGCTGCCCCACCCGGCTCTTCTCCCTGCCTCCCCCGACCCCAAGCACCCAAGTGAATCAAGACTGCGGGGAACCGCTGCTGTTTTTAAAGATGTGCAGGGGAAACGCAAGCGTCGTCGATGAATGTGGGAATGCCTGCGAGGATGCGGGCATGTAGTCAGAGGAAAGCTATTCCTGCTGATGGTGCAACTACCTCTGATTAGAGGCAACCCGCTGGAGGGACATTCTCAGATTAACCTAGGATTACCAGCCCCTCGGTTGGCGCCCGCTCATCACCGAACATGGCTTAGAATCACACTTTCATATTCACACAGAGTGATTCCACATTGATCTGTTTTTCTAGGAAGAAAACCCATTTTAAAATTTAGAAGACAACTGTATGTATTCCTGCTTAGAAGTAAGCTCTAAAGAGTACTTAATCCCAGATAAATACATTTGGGGTTGCAGCCTTCTTGTTACCGCTCCCCACAAATCCTCCAGCAGATGCACCTATTTGGTCCCTCACCATAAATATGTGAGCAAGCAGTGATATAAACCGTTACTGTGGGGAGAGCTGGCTGTTCAGGGCCAGGTGCTTGGAAAGAAGTCCTCTGGCAGACATGAAACAAACATAAATGAAACTTGACATGTGCAAAATTGATAAGAGAGGCAAGCCTAAAGCAGTTGGGTGGATCCCCAAGACAGAGCTGGGGGAGAAATGAAAGTTACCAGATAGCAATACTATGTTTTTTAAGTGCTCAGCTGGCCCCAAATCTTTCCAGAGCTGCTTCCAAGTCCTTAACAGAATGTGCTGGGGCTGACATCTGGCCCAGAATTTAAACCAAGATTTTGTTTTGGTCTCCCCTTTCCCTCTGTTTCTATGAGGACTCATGGATGCATGCATTTAAGAGTTGAAAATAATTCACGCATAGAAACTAACAGCTCCAAAAAATATTCCAGTACTTTCCCAAACACTGCAACTTTGACAATGTGCGAACGTTGGGAATTAGAGGAGAGGAAAGAGAATGAACCAGTAAGCAAAACAAACGCCTCTTTTTTTGCTTCCTGGATACTTTATCTCATTTCGTTTATTTCTTTGAGGCTTTTATATCCTGTCCTTCACAATGTCTCAGAGCGGTGATACAAATAAATGAAGAGGATACATTATTGAAAGATTACATAAATGAACAACCCCCGATTTCTTCTAAGTACTATGCCAGAAGAAAAATGATCACACTTAAATGAATACAAATCTCTCCTCTTTTGTGTGTGTGTGTGTAGCCTATTCACATTGCTGGACTAAAAACACATTTTGGACTGCTTCCACCATTAATAACAAGGACGTGCCCCTCCCAACCAGAACGCCTTTTGAACCCAAGACTGATGGGGGGGGGGAGTCCTGCCCAATCTGCACCTGCTTCCTCAAAAGCAAGTTTAAATTTGGTTTGGGGGGGGGTCGAAGGGTGCCTTCAGGACTGCAACCCCAATCCCGTCCGTGCGACACTTCAGGAGCCATTCTGCTCTGCTATTTTCAGTGGGGGGTCCTCGCCCACTTCCCAAACGATGCCTCCTCAAATCAGGCCCCACTGCTTTCCATGGGCACCTTGGAAAGGCACCTTGCCCTCCCACCTTTTAATCTCCTTCAGCGCCAAAGGCGTCGACCGCAGCCGATGCAGCGCAAGGAGGTCAGCACCAAATGCTAGAAAGGAGATAATGGGCGCGGCGGGGGGGGGGGGGCGCCGCGTCGCGCACACACCTGCCCTGCTGCCTACCTGTTCGCCTGCGGGGCGCACTTCCCGCAGGCGCCGCAAGGAGGCGCTCGCGGAGCCCCGCTCCCCTCGGCGACCGCCTCGCCCACCGCCGCGGCTGCAGCGGCGGCGGCCTAAACCCGCCCCGCGAAGAGCGCCACTCTGTCTGCGCCCCGGCCCGCTCCTGCGCTCTCCTCACCGGGTCTGCACGAAGGGCCCGAGCCGGCCGGCCGGCCGACCTCCGCTGCGCCGCTCGCCCCGCCGCACGGCACCGCGCCTCGCTCCGCCCGCCCTCCGGCACCGACTGCCCGCCGCTCGCGCCGACGCCCCTATTTATAAGGTGGCTCCGGCGGTGACGTCACCACCGCAGACCCGAGCGGCGGCGCGCTGCTGCTGGCGGAAACTGCCGAAGCGGGGCGAGGGGCGGGGCTGCGAAGGCCGCCCGGCGCCCGACGGCGCGCGGAAAGGGCCGAGCGGCGGCGGAAAGGGCCGAGCGCAGGAGCGCGACGCCAAGGCGGGCGGGCTCGTTCCCCGACCCGCTTCTCGCACCGGGCGGCCCGGCGTCGCCCTGCGCCTTTTGCGCAGCGTGTGGCGCGCAGAGGGCGAGCAGCTTCTCGCCTCCCTGGCCCGCAGTGCCTGCGCAGGTGGGCGCTCAGGCCCCGGCGCGCCAGTGTCCGAGCTAGCCCTGCATACCTGTGCGCCCCTCCTGGGGAGCCCCCCCCCCCATGCAGGAGGTACATCCAAGCACACCTGCAATGAATGAATGAACCGAGCTGCAATCCAGTCCTGAGGGTGCCTTCCCGGCACCAGTGCGATGGGGAGGCTACTGCGGGAGCTGGCTACCCGCAGCATGAGCAGAGTGCTGGACAAGCTGCATCTCTGGCCGGATCCACCGCCACGTTCGCATTCTCAGGCTCCTCAGAAGTGGTCCTCAAAGAGCTCTTGTGCCACGTTAAAAGGATCCGGCCTTTTGCACGAAGCGGACTTAAAATAGACGGGGGCATGGAGCTCGGGAGCAGGGTGCGTCCTGTGGATGAACGGCACGGAGGTTGGTTTTGTTTGCTCTGCAGATACAGGAGAGATGAAAAGCGGGAAGGGGAAAGAACTGCTCCATTCATTACTGGAGCTGCCGCAGCCCAGAGCCTGCAATGGAGCCTGAATTGTCTGGACAGAGTGTGACTCAGAGCAATTCTGATGAGCAGAGGGCCTGAATACACAGTATTTCCAGAACCGCATTGTGCTTGGCATCGCAGTCGGCACAAAAAGCACTGCAGCATTGTTTTCAATACAGTTAAGTGCCCACGCTGAACATCGCGTAACCATCCCGACACCTACACATGACGCAGGAGAGCTAATTCAGGCTGCAGAGCCTGCTCCAGACCCAGACTTCTTCCCCAGACTGGCTGTGAGCTGTAGTCCCAATAGGTCTGAGGGGCACCCGGCTGGGGAAGGCTGGACTAAACCGACCGATTTTCACGGGCCCGAACAGACTCGCTCACAAGCCCCACTGGGCCTTTCTTCCAGGTAAAGCCATATTCAGTCTAACAATACTGGAAAAATGTATCTTCTGCTATACATCCCTGCCTGGACCCCGAAATCAACTTTAGGGGCCCTCCACTGGGAGCGCCTGCCAAAGGAAATTCAATGAGAGGCTACTTCGAAGAGTTGTTGTTGTTGTGGCCCTGGTTGTTGAAAGAGATTCCAAAGAGACTTACCTCCTGCCTACCTTGGGCTCTTCGAATCAGGGTTACTGTTATTTTTTCAGCCATTTCAGGATCTGTTTTTTTAAATATTTCTGTGTCTTAAACCTTCACCCCGCTAGCATTCTTTTTTTATTTTTATTTTTAAACTTTTATATGATCTTTTATCATGTTGTATTTTATGGTTTGGTTGTGAACTGCCTGGAAAACGTTTACTGGGCATTCCAGAAAACCATTCAATCATTCAAATGCACCTGTCTTTGGCCAAGACAGCAAAAACCACTGGAAGAGCATCGGGGGAAAGGAGAGAACTGCTTGGTACCGTATGTTGTCCAGAAAGGACACAGTTGCAGAAGCTTGCTTCTCCCTTCTCTTCCAGGAAAAGCACGAAGTTCCTCCAGTGGCCTCTTGTCTCAGACTGAAGGAGCAAGAGACGTGAGACTCTAACCCAGTCTGTCAGTTGACAGAAGGAACAAAAACTGCCAATAATTCACTGCAGAGACAAACTGGGCATAGGGCTCTGCCTTGCCAAGGAAATCCAACCGTCACCTTTGACACCCAAAGAGGAAACGTCCATAAACTGAGGGGGCTTATAGGGAAGAAGCTAAGAGGGGAAAGCAAGAGAAGTACACTCCTCCAAAATGCTTGGAAATTACTCGACACGACAGTGGCAGCAAACTAGCAAGAATATATACCATAGGTTAGCACCAAAACCCGAGAGGCCAGCCACTAGTTTCAAAGCAGTGTCAAGGAAGCAGTTAAAGGGGGAAGATGGGGGCTTCTTTCTGGTAATGGAAGCCTTGCCCAAATGAGGAGAACAAAAGGGAGCTCACACCTGCATAAGGGAGAGGCAAGCAGATAATAAGGCGCAAAAACGCATTTCAAAGAGCATGTAACTAACAACATCGAGGGAAATAAAGAATTCTTCAAATATGCCAGGACTGGAAAACCCCCCAGGAGGCATTTGGACAGCCGATGAAAAAGGAAGACAGAAATGGGAGGATAATGGACCCCCACAGAAAAGAAAGGAAACCATCGAACAAAATGTTGAAAATAAATCTCTTAAGTTTTAATGATCTTTGAATCTGCTCTCCAGTGACATATTCTCAGAATAATTACCTTAATAGACTCAATTCAGAAAAGGAGTACAACATTTCAGTTGAACTAACGAAATTGCTGTTCGCACACACCCCCTCCCCCCATTCCATAGTGACAAAGGCCCTCTTCTCTGTCAGGTCTGCGTGGGAGGCATGGTTAAATTTAAAACTGACAGCAACACGGACAACAATTCTGTCTATCTTTCATGGGACGTTTCTGGAGACCTTTCTCAGCCAAACCAGGCACATTACTCTGACAGTACCTAATGCGTCAACAACTTTTCACATCAATAAAATACAAAGCTCTTTTTAAGAGCTTTGTTTTGTAAAAGAGGATAATCACTCAATTAGCATGCTCCTTTCGAGTAAAGTAGTGCTGCCTTTGATGAAGCTCCACTGCCTACTCTTTGAACCCGACAATCCAACGGCCACTGTTTCTCCAAAGCACTGCAGTGTTTTAATTAAAAGTCACAAGTTAAAATGCCACCTGTGATATTTAAAATGTTTTATGATAAAATCTCTTACACTATGACCTCAGTATTCCCTTAAGAGACATGCTGCTCTTTTCTGCATATATTAAATTTCTGCAGAGTTTATTAGACTCTGGAATCCTTTGTGACATTCAAGCAAATCTGCTCCTGCAACTCTTCGCCAGGAAGGTAGACAGCTGTTAAAATGCAACAGTCACATGCAGAGTGAGAGGAATATGCGTGTTGTGGACGATATTTTAAAACACTTCACAAAACACATTTCTGAAACAAGCTGCACGGGCTCTGAATCTTACAGAATCGAGAACCTGAATATGGCTGGGTAGAGTTGAGAGACCATCCTTTAACATCTGCACATTCCAGTTTTTCTTCCAAAGAGGCAAATATCTCTCTCGAGACTTGTCCTTGGAGATCAGGCTAGACTTTGAACTTCTGGGAAAGGGCAGGTAGAAGGAGCGAAGTCACGACCTCCAAAAAGATGGTGACAAATACCCGTTCGGTAAAGGAATTTCTTTCTGTTGCAAACATTTCTGGGAGAGAGCAAAGCGTTCACTTTAAAATTGGGATATGCAAGCGCAAACCAAGAGATAGCAGGTATTACCGAAGTCGCCGTGACAGAGACGGCAAGTTGCACGCAAAGAGAAAGCGGCCCCAAGACTCCACAGACTGTGGCATATGGCAGCCCCCACCAGAGAGCTGGAAACGGGCGGCTTTTTCTCTCCGTGGAGGTGGCGACGATTCTGGGCCACGATTCGAGTCATAAAAGGGCCGAGAGCAACGAGTTACCTCCAAGAACTGCTTGAGTCTTATAAGGGCTCCCATTTCTCCAGCACTTGTAATTGCTTCGATTCTGCGGGGAATGAAGAGGAACCCAGTTAGGCCAGCGATCACCCCGACCCCGAGCCAGGGGACAGCCCAAGTGCGGGCTGAGGACAAGAGGCTGCCACGCACGCACGCATCCCGGGACGTTAGAGCGCAGCGACGGAAGCAACCTATCCGAGGCCTTGGAGAGAATAAAACTTCCCTTCCCAGTCCAGGTTTGGGGCCTCAAGTGGAGACCCATGCCTGCTCTGAGTTGGGACCTAATCCCATTTAAGGTGGACGCTTCAGGAATGAACTTGGGAAAAGAGCCTACAGAAAACAATCCCTTTGAAGAAAGGGCAGAGATGGCGAAGCAAGAAGAGGAACAATGCTGGGGAAAGCCGATCGTTTTCAAGCATTCAGCATTGTGTTGACATGCCGTTAAAGGCATCTGAGTGAGTTTGTACGCAGACGAGTCCATCTGTCAACTAGATCTGCGTACAACGAAGTGTTTCAAAAATGTTGAGATGAGCTCCCTCTGTGCTGTGGCAGAGGCTTTCCTCACGAAAGGGAAGTCTGTATTTCTTTTAAAATGATATTTTAAAAAAAGTACTTACCTTGGGAAATACTCTTCCTTGATGAGGAGGATGATCTTCCAAAACTGGACCTGGTATTGCTTCATGAGCGCGTTCCCACAGACCTGGGGGGGGGGGGTCCAGAACAGTTTTCACTCGGCTGAGGGTCAAGCTTCCTACCATGAGCTCCCCACAGATGCATTGGACTATAATTCCCATCATCCCAAGGCAGCTGGCTAGGGCATGCCCTGCACGTGTTGAGACACAGCCCTACAACTCCCAGCTGCACAGACATCTGGACAGGTTGGGGTGGCTGATGGGGGTGGGGTGGGCGGGCTCCCCATCAGGAGGGAGTCTTCCACCAGGGGCTGGACCCCCATGGGCTGAAGAAGCTCTGACTCTGGATTTCCTGCTCTGAACTGGATGGGATGGCTGAGAAAGCTCCCCCAGCCGTATGATTCTATGTAGGGAGGGGAGGGGAGGGGACTGGACTCAAAAGAGCCAGATTCCAGTCTCCACTAGGGGATGTGCGGCCAGTCAGTACTGCTCAATGTAACCTACCTCACAGGGTCATTGTGAGGCTAAACAGAGACGATAACGTACACCACTTTTGGCTCTTTGGAGAAAACAAGCAAACGGAGAGGAGAGGAGAGGAGATCCTTGGCCTTCTCACAAAGAAGAAAATGTGTGTGGCATTTGCTTCTGGGGACACCGATCCGAAAGCTATGGCGGGGCATCGGGCACGCACTGCAGGGGTCGTCGTGCCTGCGCTCTGGCTGCCCGCCTGCTCGGAGCACTCCAGCGCACACAATGAGAAACAGCGCTGACACTCGGGGCGCTGGCGGCAGCAGGGTTGGCCCGCGGCCGGGCGGCACGGCCCTCTACACCTCCGGCCAAGTCAGTCCCCGCACGCATGGATGCCGTGCTGACAGAGCCAACTTTTCCGGGGCGGGGGCGATGGAATGGGGGGGGACACAGCACCTACCTCCAGGAAGTCAAAGAGAATGGTGGCCGTCACGTCTGCCAGAGGCTCCATGTTCAGCATCTGTGCCAGCCAGCGCCAGGCGTGGCTCAATCCGTGCGGGTGCGTCTAAGGAGCAAGGGAAGCCAGGGATGGTGAAGGCCGGGGTCTCCGGAGGAGTGGCCCCGCAGGACCATCAGCGGTACTTCCCAAGCTGCGCCAGCACGAGCTTAGACTCATACAAGAGCTGGGGGGGCCATGGAGGCCATCAGGTCCAACCCGCTGCTGTTGCAGGACACCAAGTTGCCCCGTCCCACTCGGACAGCTGCCCAGCTCGCCAGGAAAGAGCCCGACCGGACGGGCAGAGGGGGACCAGTGCTGATACGGTGCAGCCTTCTCTGACCTGGCACCTTCTCCAGATGCTTTGGACAACTCTGCATTCCTAACCATTGGATATGCTGGCGGGGGCAGATGGGAGCAGGCGTTCAAAACCACCAGGGAGACACCAGGTTGGCCACCTCTGATTTGGAGGCAGTTTTAAAGAACCCACTAGGTTTCTTCCGAGGACGTCGGCCTGGTTTGCATGTAACAATGACCCGTGGTTTAAACAACCAGGCGGGACTTGTCTAGCAGACCATCAGGCAAACGAACGATTGCTTGTTCTCTCAGTCCCTGCGTTGTTTTCCCCTTCTTTTGCCCGTTCTCTCCTGTATACAAACTGCACAGCACTGCACTAGCGGCAACGTAAACAGACTGTCTTGGCAGTTCTTATCTGCTCCCTCTGAGGCTTGGAGCAACCAGTAAACAACCCACAGTCCTAGATTTGCAGCAGCAATTCTGCATGATTTAAATCACACTTCCGAAGCCAACAACAAACTGCGGGTTCTTGTTCTGGGTTGTTTGTGGGTAAAAATCCATAGGTAACCCATAGTTCTGGGTTTGCCCACAACAATGCACAATTCAATAATCCATGGTTAATTAAAACAGGCTGCCATTACGTGCAGGCCAGGTCTGTATTAGCCTTCCCCAACCTGGGGGATTCTGGGAGTTGTAGTCCTACATATCTGGGAAGCGCCAGACTGGCAAATGGCTGCTGTAACATAAAAAGGAACGAGTGCGGACGTCTGCAGAGACTCAGAGAAAGAAAAATCAGGTGCAGACCAGAAAAGGAACAGGCCGATCTTTTGTAGAGAAATGACAAGGGCACCTACCCCTTGCTTATCCCGGTACGGCCACTGCAGCTGAAGGATGGCGGCGTACAGGCGGATCATCCCGGACATCCGCTTCAGAAAGTTGTCCTGCGGCTCCACCTTCCCGTCTTTCACTTGGTAGCCAAGCATCCTGCATGACGCGAAGGCAGACACGCCGCTTGCTTGGCCCTCCCCAGTCAAAGGCGGGAGGCGCTGCCCCACGCGCGGCCCCACTGAATTCTGAGCCAAGGCACTGCAGTCGCACTTCAGCGGCAGAACACCTGAGCCTGGAGCTGGAGAGCAGGCAGAGCCCACGCCCGGTTCTCCAACTCCTCGTCTCAGACCCCTGGAATGCAGCCTAGCGGGGCTGTGGCTCAAAGTGTCGGTCTATTTTAAGAAACTCCCCCCACCAGAGCACAGCCTGGCTCTGCTGCCTGGCTCTGCTGCCTGGCTCGGACTGAAACCGTGCGGCAAGGCCGGGGACCACCTGGCAAGCTCCCCGCTGCTCGCTGGGTCATGTGGCTAGCTGCCCTCTGTTCACCTTTGGGGAAGGATCTTGCCGACTCCCACTGACCGTTTACTGCTGCCGGCCGGATGCCTGGCGAGCACCGTGCTTTGCCCCAGCCGGCCTCCAAGGCACCGGCCGTCGCCGAACCGTCAAAGGGCTCTTTGCTTTGTAAGGACTTCCAGCCGGGCTGACCGCCGCACGCTGCGTCCGCACACCGGGACCAAAAAGCCACAAGCAGGCGACGGAATGAAGCCGCTCCCCCTGCGTTCGCCTGCTGGGCTTTCCCGCCTGTCCCTGCGAAGGCTCCGATGACGTTACCTCTGAAAATCCTCCAGGGGAGTCCCCTCCTTCATGGCAGGGTAGAACGGAGCCGCGTAGGGGCACTTCCTGTGCAAGTGGGCCAAAAGGAGGCCGCCCACCCTGGGGTGCAGCTCCCAGATGCCGGAGGCCACGACAGCGATGGGGAAGGCCGCCTCGTGATGCGCCGCCACCTCTTCCTCGCCCTGTTTCTGGAAGGACCCACAAGTCGCTGTCATCGCTCTCTGACCGCTGCTCAAAGGCAGAGGTTCAGCTTGTCAAGTATGCGGTGGAATAAAGATTGCCTGCTAGAGAATCCCGGGAGCGGAGGCCTGGCTTCTTTCTAAACATGCACAGGATTGAGCCTCAGAACTGGGCAGAGTCCAATCCTCTGCACTTTTAGAGAGAGAAACGGCCTACGGTACTCAGCACCGCGCCCCGAAACCATATAGAGATTTTAATAAGGAGAACAGGAGGAAAAGCGGCTTTTCAAACCAGGGCATGAAGGCGATGTGCTTTCCTTACCACAAATTTTTCTGCCAGTTTGAAATACACGAACTCCAGCCCTTCAGGATGCTGAGTCACGGACACCTTGTGGCCACCAGAGGATACAACCCTTCCAGAGAGGAGGCTGTGGATCTTTTCGAAAATCTCTTTCAACTGGGAACCTGTGAAGACAAGCGCAGAAGAGTTTGGAAAGCGGCAGAGAGGGAGAGAATTAGGAGGAAAAGGAGTCCTGCATATATGCATGCATTATATATATATATGTATATAATATATACAGACATATATGTTATATTATATATGTGTATATATATACACACATACTATATGTATACCTTATAATGTATTATTACATGTATATACATGTATATATTACATACAATATATATCATATATATAATACTTATAAAGGGGACCCAGACGTCCCCTTTGCAAAGTCAGAAGTAAAATATACACTCTTCAGTTCTGAGTTCTGAGCTCAGATCTGAGAATTTGATCTGAGCAGCGGAATGGAACTACTCCCAACCCTGGAGCCAATTCTGACTCCCAGGCAGGCCTGCACAGGAGCAGTGAGCTCAGGTGTCCGGCGCCGGGCGGTTTCCCCCTCAGGAGCCGCTTGCTGGCCCTGCCACAGCCCAGGGTGGCACTTGCCAGGTGCCAGGCGCCTCCCATCATACGTATGAAAACTGGCACTCACCCGCTCTCGTCGAAATCTGGCTGACCGGAATAGTAGCCGCTTTCTGTAAGTCCATCTTTATTTTTTTATCCTGAAAAAGTTAAAAATGCAGAACCGGAACTTGACCCAGTTTTAAAGAGCTTCGTTTTCTATAACTAAAAGTGCTAAAGGGGATGGGATCGGGGGGGGGGGGGGGGATGTGTGCAATGTTTTCCCAGCCAGCATCCAGAACGTCACAAAGTTTATTTATCATATTTAAGGTCCTACGTGGCCTGAGCACCGATTATTTAAGGCAGTGGGAAAGGGTGATCCTGGAATTTAAGGCAGTGGGAAAAGGGGATCTTGGAATCTGCTTTCCCCAACTTGCTGGCTGGATTGCTGACAACTGAAGTCCAAAGAATCTGGAAGGGGCCAGGCGGAAGAAATCAGGCTGGAAGAACGACTTGCGTGTGAGCACCTCAGGGAGGGTGGCGAGAAGCCAGCCCTGTGCCACACGGTGAACGTTCGGCCTTGGGCCGCGGTTACCTGGCTGTCCTTGCTGCTGGCCAACGCACTGAAGGAAGCGACACACTGCTCAGATTCCTTCTGCAGCTGCTGGTACCACTGCATGGTTGTCGCCTCTGCTTTCACCTGGAGCCCTGAGCACGGCAAAGCGAAACGTCAGAGCTGGGGATGAGCGGCAGCACCGCTTTGTCGATCGGTGTACAGGGCAAGAGCTGCAGCTCTTACTCGCAAAACCTACTTAATTCCGTAAGTACCAAATTACAAGAACATTGGTAACGCTCCAGTTTAAATCAGAATAAAACCAAGGTTTTAAAAAAAGAAGAAGAAGAGGAAAGGTCACCAGCAATGTAAAGTGCTAAAAACATTCATGCAGGTTTTTTTTTTAATGGAAGGACTAAGAAACCCCGGAAAATAAAAAGGGAAACCTGGTGCTGAAAAGAGCATTGTGGCACTGCATGAAAGAGCTGCCATTGCTGAAAAGGCCCTCTTTTTAGTGGCTACCTCATTTGGGAGAAATGCGAAAAATTCAGAGAAAAGTCTGTAAAGAGGACTGTCCCCTGTGAAGGCCCCCCCCCCCACCGCCCGCGGTCTTGCCCCTGGGCTGCACAGGGGGACGCAAGGGACCATGTAAGGCATTCCACCAGCCCTGTGAATGACTCCAGAATTTCTTCTTTTTTAGATTGCGAAACCAGGGGCAGCAACTGCCTGGCTTTATTGATCGCTCCTAAGTTGCTCCGAGGGCCCTTTGGGCCGAGGAGGGAGATAAAAATAGAAATCTTACGGTTCCAGGCAATTACATATACACATAAGACGACACTCCAAGAAACCAGGCCGCAAGCAGTTAAGAAGCGTGTAGCTTAATACAGAGGCACATTCTCGGAAGCCGGAGGCCACAAGCACCTTCTCTGCAGAGGAGCAGCGATCAGCCCCCAAAATACGCGCCATCTTATAGCCTTGTGAGAGTTGCACACCAATGAATCCAAGGGTTGTCTTTCGTTGCTGGGCCTGGATTAGCCCACCGCCCTGCAACTATTTCATTTGGGATTCCAGCACCGATTCGGGTGCCCTGGGACTGAGTTTCCCACTCACGAAGGGCACGGCTTGTCGTGTCGGCATCGGCACACGAGCTGCGGCGCGTTCAGTTTTCCTGTGAAGGATGGCGGGCAGGAGTGGCTCCGAGGTCCTTTCCAAAGGAGCCCAGGCCTGTATTAGACAGAGGGCCAGCCCAGCCTGAGGCAAAGCCAGGCAGCAGATGCTGGGGGCGGGAGGCAAACTGGCTTTGTCTGTTCCTCAAGCTCCCACAACATGAACAGGATCAGGCCGCGCAACTGCCCGTGGGCAAGTGCGACAAAAACAACGGGCGGAACAAGAGACACATAGGCCCGTGGGGATGGCCTGTCCCCCTTGAAGGAAATACTTATTTCTGGCCCGGCCTCGGATCTTTGGGAGCCCATATTCTCAGACTTATGGGAAAACGAGATAAACAATGTGCCTTATATCTCTCTCTGTTCTACGGGTTTAAGTTAAAGACAATTCTGCGCATGCTCAGGGATACTTTGCACCTTGGTGTGGGGTAGAGGAGATGATACCCCCTGGCTGTGCTTCCTCAGCCAGCAAAACGCCTTGGAAGGGCCCGGAAATGACTCCTGGAAACACTCGTGGAGTCAAGGCGGGATCTTTTAATCCTTGACAGACGGCGTGCGAGTTAACCTGCGGCAAAGCGGCGACAGGTGGGCTCACCGTCCTTTTGGGATGGTCCTCTGATGTGCTCACCATGAGCAGGGACTTTTGCCAGCTCGTCCTGCTTGTCCTCCTTCTTCTCCCTGGCCGCCGCGGCTCCCATCGCAGCCGCCGCCGCCACCGCCGCCGCCGCCTCTTCCTGCCTCTTTTTCTGCTCCATGGCCCGAGCGATGTCTTGCTCCATGTTCGAAGTCAGCTGATGCATCTCCAGCAGCGCCTGCTCGGCCGAGGCCACCTCGGCCTCGCTGGGGAACGCTCTCTGGCAAGGACCGCAAAAAGAGGCAAGCGGCCTCAGCGCCATGGGGACTAACTCAACGCATTAGACCCTGACCGAGCCACGAACGAGGGGGGACACTCAGGGGTGTGTGTGCGGCCTGGAAGCGTGGCAAGTCAACCTGATCCGCACAGACTGCAGTGCGGTAATCCTTCAGATGCTGCACCTCCCCGCACTGACTGACACGCTCAAGAGAAAGAGCACCAAACTGCACACGACAACATGCATCTTAGAATGACGTGCACGAGGAATGGGTACTTTGTTTTTACAACTGCACTGGGCAGAAACACATTCGAGAATATGTGCTGGCAGGGGATGATGGGAACAGCACTCCAACAAATGCAAAGGGCACAAGCGGAGAGGGGTCAGAGGAGCAGCCAGGGCAGAAAGATCCTAAGGGCTGGGGAAACGCGCTGCTGAACGAGACAGGGCAACTTCACCCTGTGTCTGTGCAAGCCCCGGGATCCTCAGGAAGACCCTTTACCTCGCCGGCCAGGCGGGCCACGCCGGACACTTCCCCGCAGATCTGGTTGCCACGGTTGCTGTACAGGGAGAGGTCGATCCCCGGCAGCTCTTTCTGTCTGTAGCTGAGGCCGATTTGCTGGTTGATGCGCAGGACCTCCTCCTGGATGGAGTAGAGGCGGCGCAGCCGCTCCTGGCCTTCCTCCCGACGATGGCGCTCCAGCTCCTCTTGCCGCTGCTGCTCTGCCTCACGCAACTTCCGGCTCAGCAGCTTTTTGGGGACGGGGGGGGGAGGGGGGAGTTTTACATTTTAAGAAAGAGCCCTGCTGCCCACCACCCTCTGCGGCTGCTTCTGGTCGACATTCCACACGGCAGAGCCAGACGGAACATCAGTCCAGGCCCATCTGCTCAGGAGATCCAGGACGACTTCCCAGGTTTTCCTCTCAGTCCTGGGCACAGGCTGCAGTGGATCCCGAGGGGAGAAGCAGGAGGGCCTGCTTCTGATTAGTGTATTTGCTCTACGCACACCCATCTCTTCCCGCTTAGTTCTTCCTTCACTTTCCCCCTTTCCTTCCTTTTTCTGTCCTTTGGCCATGTTCCCTCCTCCATCTTTTCCTCATATCTTTAAAACGTAAACAAAGAAAGAAAAGCTGGAGGTGCTACTGAGGAGGCCCACCCCAGGTTGGGGACACAACCCCACTGGGGACACAAGCTGGCGGCTGGACACTGCTGTGCACTGCCTGGAGGAGAGAGGCGGATTTAAAAGCTTTCCTGCTCCCGCTGGCTCTGCTCCTCACGAATCGCCGCCCTGTGAGTCGGCCTCCCCGCCTCACGGCACGCACCTTCGCTCGCTGTCGATGCTCCTCCTTGAGCTTTTCCTGCTGCCTTTGAGCTTCTTTGGAGCTGCAGGGGAAGCGGAAAGAGTGCTTTACCGACCGTGCCACCAAGACGGGGGCCAGAGAGAGCCACGCGGCCCCAGCTGCGGCCTGCTCGGAACCTCTCACCTGTCTTCTATCTCTCGCTGCAAGTGCTGATACTCCTGGTGCTGCTTCAGCTCCTTCAGCTCATCGAAGCGCTTCAGCAGCTCGCTTGCTTCTGCGGAGGCCGCCTTCACCACCTGCTCCTGCAGTTCCAGGCGCTGCCTGAGCTGCTCCTGCAAGTCGGAGAGGGAAGCACAGAGATCTGAATGTACACGCATCACATGAACGGCCTCGGGAGGCATGGTTTTATCTTCTGTCTCTTTTAAGGCGAGGAGTTCTCTCAGCCACAGCACATGCGTCCCTCTAGGCTGGCCTGGCCGCTTACCTTCCTCTTCAGCTTCTGGATTTCTTCGTGCAATCTTATCAGGCCATCAACTCCGGTGCCTTTTGAGAGCGGAGGGGGAATCGAGGCGTTCTGGTCATTCTCTGCAGCTTTCCCCTTCTTGTGAACCTGCGTGGGTAGGAAGAGGAGCCAATTATGAACTGGACTCAGCGGCAGGACACTAAATCAGCAGCTGGAAGCCCCAGTAGAAAGAAAAGGAAAACATTTGCGTCAGTTACTGAATATAAAGCAACAGCGATTTCTAGGCCATCGCCTATTTCCAAGCTATTTATGTTACAAATCAAGAAAACTCTCAATATAACCCATACCTGAACAAGCAGACAAGTGAATGAGAGTGAAATTAAAACCTCTCTTTCAATATGATTCTTTTAAGTCAGGTAAAAAGGAATAACTTTAAATTACCAAAAAATTACCAAAAATAACCTTATAAGCTACAAAACAGTATAAAATAGTATAGTGTTTTATAATAAAAATAGTGACAATGTAACGCTTCAAAAATCTTCACTTGCAAAATGTCCAAGGACAAAAGCATCTGTTTGAATATATTCATATCAACTACAAAGAAGCCCTCAGGCTTACCAAGTAAAAAGACAAAGAAGGGAAAGGGGATTGCAGGGAAAGGGAGAACGAAGCAGCAGCTTGGGAGTAAGTACTAGATCCGAGCTGGGCCAGGCTGGCTTGCCCCTTGTTGAAGGTCTTCCTTGGATGGCGGCATTGCTGCCGACGTGGGGGCTGCATCTTTCGTTCGACTGGCGGGGAGGGGGAGGCAGTTCCCCACAGCTGCTGCTTCTCTGGCTGATCTCTGGGCCTCTCCAGAAAAGGCCATGTCCCCCGTCCCCCTCACAGACTTGAAAATGAAGCTACTCTTGGAACTGCTCCAACTGTAAACCGTCCTGAGACATCTAAGTACGAGACGGTACAGAAAAGATTTAAATACATAAATGAGGTTACCTGCGTATCCCTTGGTGCTTCCGTCTTCAATGGTGTGGAGACCTGGTGGCTGTCGGGAGGAGCCGTGATTGTGAGGGAAGACAGCCCGTGTATAAGCGTGGACTCATCCAGAGAGGCGCTTGGAAAAGGAGAGTGTGGCTTTGGTGAACGGGACAGCATTTTTTCCAGCATCTGGCCTGAGTAGGGTGACAGCTCAAGAGGACCTCTATATCCTTCCAGAATTTCCTAAGGAAAACACAACATTTCATGAGCATGTGTCGGGGGGGGGGGGGATGTCTGAATATAGATGCTTAGAATTCATTGATTTATTTAAAACTTTTCCATGCCGTCCCTTATGCATGGCATCTCAGGATGGCTTACAATCATTAAAACAACCACAATAAAACAGCAATAAAGAACAATAAACCCCCAAAAAAATACAAATTAAAGAAGTTAAATAAAAGCAAATGTTAAACATTAAAATTTAAATTAGTTTTGAAAATAACAGTGAAATAAAAAGTTTTAACCTGGCACCGAAAAGAATATAAACTGGACGCCAGGCAAACCAATCCGGGGAGCACATTCCATAATCTGGACAGAATTGCTCTGAAAAGCTGGACAACTATATGCATAATTTCGCATAAGCCCCTCAGATTCTATGGGGCCTTCCTCTGACTAAAAGTGCCTAGATTTACACTGAAAGCTGAATCCCTATGCATGATTACCTGGAAGTAAGGCTCTGCTGACCTCTATAGAGCCTGCCTCAACCAGGATTATCCTGAAAGATAGAATAACTATGCATGCCTATCCAGGAAATCCCATTGATCTCAATGGGACTTACCTCCTCCAAGTAAGCACGTCTAAGCGGCTTTTAAATAACTCACAGTTCAGCTTATCCATGTCTACTCACAGGTAAGTCCTCCTGCATTCAGTGAGGCCTCCAGTTTATTAAGCCCATAGAAATTCATGCCTGAAACCCCGGAGCTGCCAGCAGCATGAACAAAGGGTGTACCTGGGGCCTGACTGGATAAAAATCTGCATCAGGTACTTCCAATCAAGCACAGGTTTGCAGTATCAATTAAAGTTGCCACCACAAATGTTTAGATAGGGGAAAAAATAGTGTTCTTAGCATGTCCCAGCCAATAGGGCTGACTGGGACAAGCTGGACATTCCAGGACCTTAAAACGAACGAACGAACGAACATGTATGGCCTATGCAAACCTCTCTATTTAATTAAAAAACAGCTCACGAGAATCAAATACGAATTGAAAACGAGAACCAGGGTGGTGCAGTGGTTAAGAAATGCTGGGCTAGGGCTCGGGCGATCTGGGTTTTAGCCCCTGCTCGGTCATGAAGCTCGCTGGGTGCTTTGGGGCCGGTTCCTGCGACTCAGCCTAGCCTAGCCTAGCCTAGCCTAGCCTACCTCACAGGGCTGTTGTGAGAGTAAAAAGGAGGGGAGAAATATTTAGGGATGGAAGAGGCTCGGCTTCCTCGCAGGAGGACAATGCGCGATCTAAATGCCACGTGAGCACAGTCTTACGATCTGGACCGTAAGGAGCCGAAGGCGGAGCGGCGGCACCGCTGCACACGCCCCTCGGGACCACATGGCTGCGCGGCATCACGGGGACAGGGCACTGGGGCCGGGCCGGGCCCCGCCTACCTCGCCGAGTGGGCTCCAGTCCGGGCAGTAGGTGAGCTGCCCCTTGCGGCTGCCCCGCAGGGCCTCCACCGTCTCCAGGCGGAACTGCTCGGACGGCATGTCGGACCGCGGGCCGCCGACCTTATGCCGCCCAACAGCGCAAGCCCGGCCCCTGGAGGCGCTTCCGGCGGGACCGGAAGAAGGGGGACGCTCTGCTCCGTGCAACCAGAGAGACTGGAACATAGACTAACGCTCTGAAGAGAGAGGGGAGGAGCGTCCGCAGATGGAAGCCACCCACACGGAAGGCGGCCCCATGGGCGTGCTTAAGGGTCGCTCGCTGGATGGGGTGACGGGACTTGTAGTCCCTCTCACTGAATTGCGGGCAGCTGGGTTTAAGGAATGATTCGAACCTCTTCAGGCATCTTGGAGCCCACGGAGACCGTGGTGGCTGGGGATAATGGTCCGATAATTCTGGAGAAGTCCGTCCGGGAAAATCAAAAGCCCAAGTGATGATGTTCCCACGCTTGCCTGCCACCATCGAAGCGATCCCCAGCTTGAGCACGTTTGCTCTACACGAGATATGGACTTCTCTACAATTATTATCTCTATGGCCTAAAATGGAACTGGGTTTCCTCCTCGAATCGATGAAGCTTGACAGCTTGCAACGTAGAGCTACCAACGTGTAGAGTGGCGTTCCTCTGAAGACTATGTTCACAAGAATCCTTATGATATTAACAGTAGGAATTATTACTGGGTCCCCAGGACAGTCCTAATGCTCAGAAGAAAATTGCATTTAGTTCAGGATCCTGTCTCTCCACACTGCCACGCAGGAGTCCGCAATAGGACAGGAAGACAAAAATGCCGCCCTTCTTATATTATCATTTGCCAGTTAAGTGGTCAAGGACAGTAACTGGTACCAACACGCATCCTGCTTCTGAAGCCTGTGACCTCCGCAGACCCACCCCTAGTCACTACTGATAAAGTCATGGAAGGTAATGTTTTCATCTCCCCTGAAAAGTCATCAAAGCCACACCGCATGGGCCCGCGTTGGGTCCCCACTGGAAAAATGGAGGGAGTCAAGTCTATGAATTGCATCGTTACAATAGAGCTTCAACATGTTTGTACTGTTAATTGTTCTATTTTTGATAGTATCACATATCCGAGTAAATGTACAAATAAGACACATTAATAAAACCTGGCTATATGTGAGGGAAAAAAAACTTTATGATAGCACCTTTTCAATTTCAAGAAAATCACGTTAATTCAAATACTTAAGTTTTTTTTTTTTTTCAATTCTGATTTGATGGCCTTATAAATATTTTTAACATTCAAAACAGCAAGCCAGTTGGCCAATTTTCGCAGTCACCAACCCATCACCACCTATTCAGGAACAGAAGTTGACGAAGCATAAATAATGGGAAGACAAGTGTTATTTCTATCTGTTTTCGCAGAGGTCAGAAAAGTGTGTTCAAGCAATCTAGCAGTTGCGTTAGATGAAACGCCAGACCCGACTTGGCGGGGGGGGGGGCGATCAGCATGTTCTACTCTAAAGCAGGAAAGGAGTTCTTCAGAATATCACGTAATGAGATCACACAGGCACAAGGCCACCCAATAAAAACAAACGGATGAATATATGACGAACATAATGCTCAACAGGAAGCCCTGCGTAAGAAAATGGGAAATGGTGAAATAGGTGTGGATCTGCAATGCGGATTGCAGGAACTCTTCCTAAGGAATAACCAACATGCAGGTGCCTTCCCCAAAAGCAGGGTATTTTGCCCGTACTCCTGAACACTGGTTATAATTACGCAATTAAACCAGCAACGCCTCCTAGAATAACTTAGAAGGGAATGGTCTCCAAAAGTCACGCCACCCCAGCATGGATTTATTTACTTGCTGGGGCTGTTGGATCATGTGGGCGTTTGTTTTAAATATTCAAGGTGCAACCATGCCTAAAAAAAGGTGGTTTTGTGACATGGTGGACAAACCCCCACACAAGCCGAGGGCTGTTTTAGGGTTGTGAGTGGTTTTGTAACGATGCCACAAGCCGGGCACACAGGGTTCATGGGACACAATGAATATTCACAAGCTGGCTGGCATGAAGTATCTCCCTTGCTGCGACGGAGCAAACGTGGCCCACGCATTTTGCCCCGCCGGGCGCTGCTAGCAGACGCAGCCCTTCAACGTGCTCACCCTTCCTCTGAAGGCCAATTAAAATTCTCATTAGCTCTGCCTTGAATACACATGATCTTCGAATGGGAGGAATCGCGACAGGTGTTCACAAAATGTTAATAAAAGTACAAATATTAAAAAGTTGGCAGGTTACTTGCAAAATCGGTAACCTGTGTAAGGCACTAGAAGACCGGGGAGAGGGCAAGCCCACCGTGCTCTCCAGTCTGCTCCGAGCGGAAGGCGCATCGCTCACCAAGAACAGGATGAAGGCCCCGAGCTGTGCAGATCTTGGAATGTTATGGCTTAGAAACAGGTCCGCCTGGCTGGGCCAGAGGCGAGAGAGGATCCGGTGTTAATGGGAAAGTTCGGATCACAGAGGAGAACGGGGACGGATGGGGGAGCTGGACAAAGCACTGTCCCCAAACACGTTGGCATAGGAGGACTTGAGGAACTGGACGTAGTTTTGCATGCTGCGGTTGGTGCTGTCCGACTGCTCGAGGCGGTCCTTCAGGTCTTGGAGGCGGCTTTGATAGCGGTGCTCTGCCTGCAGGGAATTGAAGAGATCACGTGTGCACCAGCTCCATCTTTAGAGCAGCTCAGCGTTGCTCTCCTACTCTCCCTCCCTGGGCCGCTTGTTGCTTTGCACTTTGCTTTCTGTTGTTCTTTTAAACATTTGCACTGTATTTTGTATTTTTCACTATTTGCACAGCAGCAGCTTTTGGTAATCTAGCCAGGTAACTTCAGTTTGGAGGCAAAATTATAATCGCCTAAGGAGAGTGACAAGGAGAGAGCCAGTGTGGTATAGTGGTTAAGAGCATGGGATCGAGACTCAGACGATCTGGGTTCTAGTCCCTGCTCAGCCATGGAGCCAACTGGGTGACTTTGGGCCAGGCACAGACTCTCAGCCCAACCTACCTCACAGGGTTGTTGTTGTGGGGGTAAGATGGAAGAGAATGATGTAAGCTGCCTTGAGCCCTTTGTAGGAAAAAGGCAGGATATAAATCGGGAAAAATAAAAAAATAAAAAAAAAGGACAAGTGGACTCGAATTCATGCACATACAGGCAGGCACACATTGTATTTCAGCTCCCATGCAGCAGGGGGCTCTCTTCTTAAGCGGAGGAGGAACAGATGCAAAAGAATTCCTCCGCTGCCTCTCAGAACTCGGCCCCTGAACCGATCCCTGTTGCTCCCCAAGCACCCCAGGGGCACCAAAACTGAGGCGACCTCCGCCACACGAAGCCCACTCACGTCATCTTTGCTTCGCCGCAGCTGGTTCAGTTCAGTCTTTGTCCTGCTCAGCTGAGTCTCCAAATCCAGCATCTTGCACTGGGATGCTCTTTCCCTTACAGCTGCTTGGTCCCTTGCTTGTTCCAGCTAGAAGCAGGGAAAGGCAACTGGTGGTTGGAATGAGGCGAAGAGCCTGCCCTAAAGGGGCGATACCTGGGACCCCAGTGGGTACAATCCTGTATCAGTTCAGACAGGAAGAAGTCCCATGACCACCAGCACTCCCCAATCACACTGAAGACTATTGCTTTAAGTGCTGTAATAGTTTTTTGTCCTATTGTAAGCCATCGAGAGGGACATTCCGGATGTAAGACAGGATATATTTTTTTCAGCTGGCCATGAAACTCTGGGAACTGTAGGATACCCTTGTCCTGACTAAACTTCCATGGGACTGCATCCTAAGACATTCAGAAATGTAGCACTCCGTCTTTCCTCTCACCCTTTGGAAACAGTTGTCTGCATTTTGCCCCTCATTTCAAGGCAGAATAGCATTGAGAAAACAATGCTAGAGAATGAGCAACCGGAACGGAGGGAAACTTCAACCTTCGTCCTCAGGAACAGAGAGAGACATAATTCCTCAGTAATTTCCCAGGAACTGTGGATGTAAACATTTCACCCAAATCCATACCCTGCCCCCAAGAATTTACAAGTCACTGTGGTTAAAAACTTGTAAAGTGTGGGGGAGAGAAACAAGAATGCACTTTCCCCTATAACATTAGTGGGCCAAGAGGCAATAACACCTTATTTATAAACGCTTCCCCTCCCTCCAAGCTCATGCGGCTTCCTCATTTCTACCTTTCAGTTTAGTTTTTCCATTTCCAATCCCCAGTCCGTAAATATAGCCATCAGGAAAATATAAGCAGAGGCAGCAAGTAGGACATGAATGTCTAAGTGTTTGGCTTAAAGCTGGGTTTGGAGCTCTGTCTGATCACAGTGCTTCCTGGGGAGTTTGGGTCAGCTGCACTCCCCCAGCCCCCCCATGATTTTGGAGTTGTGAGGATAATGGGGGAGGGATCCCCATGGAAACAGAGGAGTGAAAGAGTTATAAGACACCAGAACCCCCCTGCTGAAGTTCTTTTGCAGGGAACTCTGGCAACGGCAAGAGCAGCCAGAATTGCCCCTGCCTCAGTCAGACCCTCGCCAGGAGAGAGCGACCCACCTGCCTCTTGGCGTCATCGATGGCCATCTCCAGCTGGCGTGCTAGCGAGCTGCATTCGCGGGTCTTCTCCTCCAGGCGCAGCTGGGCCTGGTGAATCGACTCTTCCCGCTTGGCGATGACCTGCAGGAACTCGATGTTCTGCCCACTACTGGCTTCGAGTTTCCTGAATGGCAACAGGGAAAACTTTCACAGACCTTTTGGAGTGAAGTGCCGGCACCCAATCAGCTAGAGCCATCGATGAAAATGTTTCGATAGGCTAAGGAGGTGCCTCGGATGATCCAAGATGCAACTTTTCTTTCAGTCCTGGAGAAGGGCTTCAGACAGAGGGGTCCCACGAGGCAGGGCCAGAACCTCCCCAACTGTCATGAGGACACGTTCCGGGGGCAACCTGGCCCTCTGGGCTGGAACAATCCCCCAGAAGTCAGCTGGTACCCAGCATGCTGTTGCTTCGAGCTTCCTGTTCCGTTTCTCCCACCACAAAACAGGTCCACCTCCAAGAAGTTGGAGGCACGCTAGCTGTCTTCATTTTTTACCTCCTCCTCTCTGCCCTCTGGCCCAAGGTCCACAAGCAAAGCACAGAGCTCCCAAGACCAGGTTCATGCGACTGCTGCTGACCGATCTACGCAAGTGGGAGGACCTGGACAAAAATGGCTCAGGCACCGTTCACCTCTCCCAAAGCAATCCTCTACCCACCCCACCAAGCCTCCTCACCTCTCCACTTCTTCCAGCTTGAGGACCAGCTGCTTGTTCTCCTCTTGGGCTGACTGGTATTTCTCCCTTGTGATTTCCATCTTGTCTCCCTGAAGCTCAATCTAAAATGAGAGGATCGATAATAATAAAGATAAACATGTGATGTTTTCAACTACACACAGGAAAAGTCAAAAGATGTGGGTGCTGGGTTGATTCATGCAGGAATGAATCCCTTTCCGTGATTCCTAGAATGAGGAATGGAGCCAGAGAAAGAGGGAGAAAGACGAACAAGGCAGCAATGCAAGGGCTACCAAGCCTAGGCTCTAAATGGAGCCAAGGGTCACTGGTGTTCCCTGCCAGAATCTGGGGTCCCTGGCGCCAGAACACGGCCCTTTGGCCAAGGGGTCCTTTCTTCATCAGAGCGCCCAAAGCCATTCCCCACGGCCATCCACGCACGCACGGTGAATTACGTGGGGAAAGTGTATCTGGCCAAGGAGGCTTGCCCCACCTGCCCCATTTCCCATGCTAAGTGTTGTACGTGCTCCCACTCTGGGGACTTTCGAGAGACAATTGTGATCCAGGATGGAAGACCTCCTCCTTGCCGTCACACACACACAATGCTGCCCGCCACCTGCAAGCAAAGCGAAGCACACAACATGAAGCGAGATGCACAACGGGACAGCAACCTTGGGGGAACGGGGAGCGACCTAGTTTTTACTTCCATCTGTCGAGGCGCATTTTGCACAATGAGGCCTGCTTGCGATCTTTAGGGGCTCTAAAGGAGGTGGATCAGCAAAGGGGGCAGATGTAAAATCAGGGCAAAAAATGACTCGGTTATAAACAGGCCATGGTGACAGAGACCATGGCTCCAGCAAGCTACAGGGCAACCACGTTTGGGGTGGCTGGGGACAAATGTTGAGCCCATCACATGACAGAACTGCGTATTTATGAACACAAGTTTCTGATCCTCAGGCTTTCTAGCCATGTGAAGAATCTGATACATGGATTCCCACCCCAATGCCCCTGTCAGCTCTTCCTGACCCTTTATTTTCACATTTGTCTTCTTCCGTCATGAGGCCTAGAAACCTGACTTCTTTTTTTTCCAAGGGATCTAGCCGTTCTGGGGATTCTGTGCTTGGGCTGCTACAACCCAGAATGCAGACATTTGCCTGAGGGAATGGAGGCAGCCGCAAGAATGGAGAGGTCAGGGAATTTAACAAATGGAAAGGCACGCAAGTTAACATGCTGGAAAAAAGGCACCGGCGACAAGCAAAGCAAGCTGACACAGAGATGGTACAAAGACAGGCCACACATCCACTTATTCTGCAGTGCAGCGCTTTAATCATTTCAAAAAGAGACGAGACAAGAGACAAAGACGGGATTTCCTGGGTGTGAGAGGCTCATTTGGGTCCCCTGCTCGCGGTCCGCGTGGGTGCCTTCTGCCAGTCCCTTACCCGCTGACGGAGGTCTGTGATCATGGCTGACAGGTCCGTATTCTTCTTCTCGTAACTCTTGAGCTGATCCTGACACTCGGCCAGTTTCGTTTCGGTGAGTTTCAGGATCTCCGGAAGCTTTTCCAGCTCGGCTACCTGGCTCTGGAACTGCTTTCGAGCCTGTGGGCAGAAATGCGGAAGACAAATCCTAACGTGACTTCGGGGCACTTAATCAACAGAAGAGTCAAAGCAGTGCCTTTTGGATAAAGGGCTTCATTTTGGCTTCGAGCTCTGTCGGGTGCAGGAACAGACAGAAGCAATGAGATGGTCAGATACTGGTGGGAAGAAAGCAAACGGGATACTTGATTTACTGAATTCATCCCCACAGCTCACTAAAGGCCAAAATACACATGACGTTAAATGCATCTGTATCTGTTTTAATGCAAAGAGTGTCCCCCAGAAGAGGGCAGATCATTACTTGCGGGGAAAGCAAAGTGGGGAAAGATCAATTGAATTGCATGGGGTGTGTGCAGGTAAGAGCTTCAGAGACGGCAACTGCTGTTGGATTCCAACTCCCATCAGGCCCAGCCAGCATGGCGAACGGTTGAGCGCCACGGAAAGTATAATCCAACACCTCTTGGAAGGCCACAGGTCTCCCTCCCCCTGCCCTGACACGGCGAGCCACATCCTCCGTGGGAGTGGTTTTCTCGTGGAGCCTGCCACATTTCCCCCAAACGCCCAAATGCAAGCGCAGGTCCAGAATGACTGGGACCTCTGCGACACTCCACGGCCCTTTCCAGGCCTGCAACTGGAGAGGCCTTCCTTGGAAGGGCCCGGGATGGAAGCTGGGGCCTTCGGCTCACACAGCGGGGCTCTGCCACGCAGCGACGGCTCCCCCCGAAGCCAGGCGCTCCTTGCTGCGGCATCAGCGCGGCCACTAACAGTGTGACGGCGAGCACGCCTGCAGGCCTTCCCCAGTCGCCCAGAAGTGCCGCCATGCTTAGACTGCGTTGGGGGAGACACAAAGCGACGCCTCTGGATCGTAAACGGAAGAGAATCGCAGAAGTCCGGGAAGACTGCAATATATAAAGCCCGTCACTGACCCCGTGTTCCTGCAGCACCCAAAAGAGCTCTTACGTTTTCGATCTCTTTGCTCATTTCTTCTTTTAGCGCCTTGTTCTCTTTGTCACAGAGTTCCAGTTTCACAGTCACCTCATCAGCCTCCATTCGGGTTTTCAATACCTGGACACAAAAACGGCTTCATGTTTTCAAAGGAAGAGGGACACAGAGGGACCACAGTGGCAGTGGGCAGGATCGGAAGAGGAAGTCGGGAGATGGCAGCAAGGCCTTCCTGTTGAAGCAGAACTGAGATGCCTCAACTGGGTATCCTCATCAATGCTACTGGAACAGCAGGGCAGCTCTGCCTCACTTTCGAGACCATTTCCTCAAGAAGCAGTGGAGCAAAATTCAGAGCTCCCCTCCCTAAAACTTCCGGAGCATCTGCCCCTCTTCACTGCTGTGCAGGGATCTCGGAACCCTCCTATGCAGAAGGGCCCAGCGCCGTTGGTTTGCCTAGGGGCAACTCCACCTCAGCTCCACCCAAAGGAGCAGCTGCTAATGAATGAAAGCCCGGGAAGCTCGCTGACATGGAGAGCCCCAATTCTGCCCCACTTCCAGGGGTCAGTTCAAGAGCACCTGGCACAGAACAGCATATGACGGGGTGCGAGGAGAACAGGTCCTAGAGAACATACCTGATTCTTGTAGGATTCTATGAGCCCTTCGTAGTTCTTCAGGGATGCCTTGAGCTTGGCTATCTCCTGCTGCGCCTGATTCAGCCTTTCCTCCACTGGGATCATGCTATTCTGTAAGAAAAGAAACGAACACGCTCATTCCCAACAAGGCCAACGCTGCGCACACACTCACATGCCGCCCCTCACCCTGAGCAGAACCCACTCCGAATGCCTTCTGTGCCAGCTTGGGGGAAGCCATGGATCCTGGGGCGTGGTAGGGAGTGGGCTCCACTGTCCCATGACACCCCACTATTTGCGTCTGTTTCTGAATAATGGGCTTGTTGGTTTGTTTATTTATTTTTCGATTTATATCCTGCCTTTTTCCTACAAAGGGCTCAAGGCAGCTGACATCATTCTCCTCCTCCACCTTATCCCCACAACAACAACCCTGTGAGGTAGGCGGGGCTGAGAGTCTGTGCCTGGCCCAAAGTCACCCGGTTGGCTCCATGGCTGAGCGGGGACCAGAACCCGGATCGCCTGAGTCCCAGTCCCACGCTCTTCACCACCACACCACACTGGGTTAGGGACTCTAATAACCACAGTGGACTGGCCAAACATAAATTCTTCCCCAAAAAGATGCAGGAGCCACTCCTGGGGGAACAAGGCCAGACTGGCTCCAAAGCCACGTGTATTTTCGATGCCCTTCTCTAGCAATCCTCCACCAACCTTCAGCCTCTCATTCTCGATCTTGAAGGAGGTGCTCTCTGTGACCTGCCGGTGCAGTTTATCCACCAAGGCGTCTCTGTCTTCCCGCATCTTGTCCTCCAAGGTGGACTGCTGCTCCAGCAGTTCTGAAATTCGGCTGCCACACAGCAGGGGAAATGAACCGTTAAATGCAAGGAAGAAAGGAACTGCCTGAGGACAAGGCAGAATTTCAGGCACCTGTCCGGTGTGCTGAGTCTCGGTTCTCGAGCGCGCCGTGGCGATGGACAGCGGTCAGAGCAAGTTTCTCCAATGATATGCTTTGGCTCGCAATTTCCACCCACCCTGGTCAGCTTGCACAATGGTTAGGGGTCCTGAGAACGGCAGTTCAAACTACCAGCAGGGTACCAATTTGAGGAAGGCTGGGTTAATATTGACTCCAGACCCAGGAAACCAGATTTTTGGACTGAGGTCACTCCATCACAAGCAGAAACCAAAATGGCAGGCAGCCAAGTGGCTTCGGCACTGTCAGTCCCACAACTAGCCAGACTGCAGCAATTCAGAGGTCCCGCTGTCCCTGACTGGGGCTGATGAGATTCGGAGTTCCGAATATCTGGAGGGAGCGAGGTGAGGCTGGTGCAACATCCTGAACGCAAAGGCCAGGCCAGGCCTCCTCCCAGCTCACCTCGGCAACTCATGGAGCGATTCTTACCTGTTCAGCATCACTATCTCAACCTCCAGGTCACTTTTGTCCTTTACCACTTGGTTGTAGCGGCTCCGCCAAGATTCCAGGGTGGATAACGCTTCGGCAACGTAGGTGTCCTGCACACAAGGCAACAAGGACGGGGGAGGGAGGGTTGAGAGCAGAATCACATGACTCCCGGTAGGACGCAGAAACCAATCTGAGACACCAGTTCCCCCCCGCATGAGGAGCTGTACGAAAAGAACTGAATTTTCACATCACCCCTACACTTCTAACCACCCTGGTCAAAATATAAGCCAAGGTGAGTGTTTCCTGTTGTTTCAATCATCCGAGTTGCGTGAATTGAAAACCGAAATACACACACAGAAATGCATGGAAGAAAAAGGTGAGGACAGGAGTTTCTACCAGCTCCCGAATGGGCTCTAGAAAGCAAACAGAATGCAACCAAACATAAAATAAAATTGACCATACACATTCAGTTTAAAAAGACAATAAATACAACTCTGTTATTTGAGAACTATCAAACTAGATTCTTAGAGTCTCATCACAGCGGCGTCAACAAAGCCGCTGTTCAGCTTTTGGTCAGCCACTGCCAATCTTGCAACCCTTTAGCTGTAAGGAATGTGTTAGAATCAAATGTTTAATGTTAAGCTTGGTCATCATTGGTAGATATCCCTCAGTAAACTGAGAATAACCTAGGTCCTAAATACAAAGAAAAGGAACGCTGACGTTCCTCTAAGCTCCTGAGCTCGGCCTACAAATCAGGCCTACAGATTTTTAACAACAGGCTCCTTCTAAATACTGCAAAGTCATAGCTTAGGAATACAATGCCAGGAATGTCTTTCAGAATGAGATATTTAACAACTCATGTACATAATTCTCAAATACACGCTTTAGTTTGAGAAATACAACGGGGTCAGGGGGTGGGGAACAAGAGGGTCTGGATCCCCTCTAGATTGTGTGCATGTATGCACAGCACTTAATTGTTTAATTAAGCAGCTTCTCTCAACCTCTCTGCCAACCGCTGCGACACGCAGCGGTCCCCTTTCAGCAGGAGGAGATGCTGCTGTTCAAGAGAGGCCCATGCAGCTCAAAAGCTCGCTTCACTCACACAGAACCTCCCTGCACCTATCTTTGTCCTTGCCTCCTTAGATGCAGCCAATAAATGTAAGAATGCAACTTCAGATTATATTATGAGTGTCCTCGGAAACAGAGAAGGGCACCTGGGGAAGTAATTGCACCTCCCGGATGGCAGAGAGAGATGAGCAGCCCGGAGGACAACGGTGACGGCCATCACCTTTTCTGCTAGCTGGGTGTTCAGCTGCTCGGCGTACTCCTCGCTGCGCTCCGCTCGCTCTTTCTGCGCCTTGATTGCTTTTTTGAGGGCTTCCTTGTCACGGTCCCCCTTTGCCTTCAGCTCCTTCAGCTGCTCCATAATGTTCTCCACTTCAGCCTTATGCTGAGCTGCAACACGCTCCAGATTCTGGGGGGGACGTGCAAGATGTAAATCGAACTGTATCCAGGGACTCTTTCCCACACAACAGCAAACACCAGAATGCAGGAGGAGCAAAGGAAGCCTGTGGGTCCATCTAGACCTTCAGGGTCACCTGACTGACTGGCAGGAGCCTTCTGGGCTGCCCGATCAGGGACCTGGATGCAAGGAACACACGAAGCATGTGATTCCACCACTGAATCACCTTCTCCAACTGGTGCCCTCCCAAATTTTTCGGACCACAACTCTAGCCAGGATTGGGAGGGTGCCAGGCTGGGGAAGGATGCTGTAGCTTTGTGGTGGCAGAAGAGACTGCATCACTTCTAACTAATGACAGGGGGTCATTTTGCTTTTTAATTTTATTATTTATTAAAAGCTTTTCTAGGACGTTCACTACAAGCGTCTCAGGACGGCTTACAAGAAAAAGAAAAGAAAACAAGGCACTGCGTCCAACCTCAATAATAAAACCCAGAATAAAACCAATCCAACATTAAAATGATAGGAAAATAAAAAGGTTTTCGCCTGATGCTGAAAAGAATAAAGCAATAGCGCCAGGTGAACCTCCCTGTCGGGGAGCCACCACCGAAAAGGCCCTTCTCCAGGTAGCTACCCTCCTGATCTCCTTCAAGGAGGGCTCTTGGAGAAGGACCTTTGCCTCAGAACTCAAGGGGCTCCCCTGAACGATTTTAATGCTCCCTGAATGTTAAAAACTCCCTGTATGTTGGAAAGGAGCATGTCAGGGAGAAAGCTTTAGCCTATCGCCCTTCTCCTCACTGGGCCAGTTTGACAAAAGGCCTCGGGGAGCACGAAACAAAATGCCACCCTCCCGCCTCTTCGGAATGCCTGTGTACCACCGAGTGCCCATTACTGAGGACCGCAAGAGACTCGTACCCGGATCTGGATGCCCAGGCGGTGGTTCTCGGCTTCCTTATTGCGCAGCTGTGCCTGAAGGTGCCCCCGGACCGCTTCCATGGACTTGGAGAGCTCAGATGCAGTCTTGGCTTGGTCCTGAAACAGGAAAACCACCAGGAAGCATCAGCAAGGCAGAACTCCGCCTCAGGTAGACACACAGGTGCGCCGCAGCCTCTCCCGTTGCCCAGAACGTTCAGACTCCTGGCACAGAACCCCAGGAAGAGCGCACCTTTTCTGTCTGTATCTGAACAATCAAATCTTCCACTTCCTTTTCTTTGTCTTGCAGCTTCTTTAGCAATAGCTGCAAAAAAGAGAGAGGAGGAGAAATGCGGCCGATGCAAGAAAATCACAGCACGGCTGAGGAAGGGGGCAGGTCTTGCGTCTTAACACTGCCATGAGGCTGGGGCAAAAACCTGCACCCTGAAGGTGCTGGTTCACACATACCGCTTTCTCGCCATCAGAGTCGGCCAGCTTCTTCATCAGTCCTGCCTGCTGCTCTGCCAGTTTCTGAGACTCTTTCTGAAGAAGAGAAACCAGCCGCATTCACGGAGGAATTTTTAAAACTCCCATCCCTTTTTCGGCAGGGCCTTGGCTTTTGCTGAGCCATGGTTGTCGCTCGCTAAAAAGATGAGCTCATCCCCTTCTGTACCCAAAGAGAAACCAGAGCTTGGTGCCCAGAATAGCGGCTGCCCCGGAATAGGCAGCATCGTGTAAAAGGAAGAATTCCAAAACTGTAGCATGGTTGGGATGATTACGACTGAGGACATCTGTAGCCAGTCTTTTCAAGGAAAAGTTTCTGCGCTTACAAGTGGAAAGACATAAAACAAGATCTTAAAGCGCTTAGCTTCAGCAGTGAAGCTCAATGAAACAGCTGTCAAACATCACAAGGGCTGGACGGAAAGAGCTCATCTCCTGGTCTTCCAGCAGAGATGGAGGGGGACTCAGACAGCAATGCAACAGCAAGCTCTTCTCTTGAGCTATCAGGTCCCCTGCAGCATCTGGGGCCATGCACTGCTTTTAAAAGGATCTTACCATCTGCGGTTCAGGACTGATTCAACCCCACAGTTGTGCAAAAACGTGCAACAAAACAAAAACCCACAAAAAACAAAGAGTGGGAACTCCAAGTCCTGAATGTCAGCACCTTCTTTGCAAAGGACCTGACCAACTGCATGGCAGTTCCGTCGCTTTAACTTTCCCTCCCAGACGTTCCCTACGGAGCGTTTTCCGCCAGCAGCGGGCAAGGCCTTAGAGACAAAGCAAGCAAACTCGCGTGGTCGGCAGTGCGATGGACAAAGCTGTTTTGATTCCCTTGTACCTGAAGTGGCCGTTTCCTGGTATAGGGTATCAGGCAGACCAGGGAGGCTGCAACAGACAAAATACAGGTCTCCATCTGTTAGCCGTGCTTTTCACCTTGGGAGGGTGAACTTATATTGAGTCAGACTCCTGGTCCACAAAGCCCCGTACTGTCAGCATGGACTGACTGCGATGCTTCCCCAGAACTTCAGGCGGGAGTTGTTCCAGCCTCACATGGAGAGGCTGGAATCTTCTGCATGAAAGGACGTGTTCTACCACTGGCTACTGCTCCTCCCAGCGGGAGCTTTGCAAAAACTCCACATGGAGAAAGGGTCACCGGCGCCAGGGCTGCCCAAGCAGAAGACTAAGCCCCAGGCAGGAGCTGGCCCACAACCCCGCCACGTGAGCTCTTCCACTCCGGCACCGGTTCCACACGTGCTTCTTCGGACCTGCCCAAACAAGGGGACCCAGAAAGACAAAGCCAGAGCTGCGGCCCTGCTCACCTCCCGGCTGTGCTGCTCTCTAAGCAGGTCTCGGAGTGTCCGGTTGGTTTCTTCGAAAGTGCTCAGCTTCTGCAGCAGCAGCTCCTTTTGCCTGGTAAGCGTGTTGATGTCTGAAACTGTCATGTGCTTCTCCTGAAACGATGGGAGAGGAGCACTGAAGCAAGGTTAGGACATTTTCCATCCGACAGTCCTACGCTCTGCTAGGAGTGGGTGCCGTTAAGACGGGACTTGGGGGCAGAGGTCCAGGGACCCGCTCGGCAGAATGAGAAGCCCCCGCTCCCTCCCAAACGAAAGGAGGCCTGATTGATCACATTCCAAAGTTTAAAAAACGCAATGCACACTGCCACCTACAGAAGGGTGGGCAGGTGCACGAAGATGGGGCAGCGCCCCCACCCCAATGTACTAGTTTCCTGTTTGCAGATGTACTGTTTAAAATGCCCGCGTGCACAAGGAGACGCTGAGACAGGCAGGCAGAGGTGTCTTCCTGCACACGGAAAGCGTTCTCCTCTTTGTGGAAGGGGCTCCACCCCATCGGAAGCTTTCACAAACAGAGGGTGAGTTTTGCAGCTCACCCTTCAGCCACCAGAACTGCATCCCTCACTGGCCCAGCTACCTGGAGATGTTCGAAGCAGAACTGAAGAGAAGGAATGGGGGTCTGAAAGGGGCCTCGCTTCCCGAGCCAACCCACTGGTTTCCCACCGGCACTCGGAATACCTGGTCCGAGCGCACCACACCGTCTCACCGGGGCTACGCGTGCAGATACAGCCTTTGCTGCCGGGGACGCGCAGAGAAGCAGCTTCTACATTCTGCCTCCTGTCCACGCCCTGGCAAGCCGCCCAACCCGCCCCCCATTTGCCCGTCCGCAGCTGGGGAGGCTCCAGACCCAGAAAACAGCCACGCAGCATCACCCGCTCGGGCACGTACCGTTTTCAGCTTGCTGATGGTGTCCTTCAGGGCCTGGATCTGCTTGGAGGCGGCCGCTCCATCCAGTTCTGCCTCTACCAGCTTGGCCATCAAGCATTCCTTTTCGTGCAGCAAGTGCCGCTTCTGGAGTCTGGAAAGCGAGAGCAGGTTACTCCTAAGCACCTTGTGGGCAGGAGCAAAGAAAGCAGCTGAGCTGCGACGCACGAGATAAAGTGGGCTCCTCCGTTCCTGGCATGAACCGTCTGAGCAGCTCAGTGCGGCTTAGATGGGTCTCCCATACAGGCCTTGACCAGGCTGGCGACTGGGCCCAGTCGACGCATGCAGCAAGAGGAGGCAGTAGCTGGCTAGGCTACAGCACGATGCAAGGAAAAGATCCCCTCTCTGCTTTCCTTCTCCCCCACCCCAGAATCATTCCCATCGGTAACATCTCCCCGCGGGAACTGGTAAAGCAGCAGCTCGGGGAACAGGCCGCAGGGGAAACTCTTCCTCCGAAGCACTGGCCCTCACTCGTGAGTTTACAGAAAAAAATCCCTGCATTTAAAAATGGCACCCCCCCCACTTCCGCCTCGAAGAGGTACAGCCCGTTGGGCCTCGTTTAGCTTGAGCTGCATGACCGTGCCCCTGCTAGGACAAAAGCAGCCGGGACAGGGGGAGGGCTTCGGCACCCCAGCATCCCCACTTCCCCACCCCATACAGGAGCTGTCCTCCCCCCGGCTGGCCTGCCGGGGACTAAGAGCCTGTGCTTCCTGGGAGCAGCCGGCCTGCGCCGCCTTGGGGCTCGCCCCAAGCCCCGGGAGAATGGGAGCAGCAGGAAAAGCCCTGCTCTGCTCTGGCCCGCCTACCCTAAGACGACCGCACTGCTTCAAAGGCCAGTCTTCTGTAAGCTCGGCCGTTCCGCTGCTCTGAAGCGAGGCCCTTCCCACCGAGAGGGAGCAGGTGCGAACCTGCCCCCAAAGCCAACAGGCGGCCCGTGCGGAGCCCACGCCCTTCATCCACAGCTGCCCCTCGGCCACTGCGGCTCAGCTCTGCCTCTTTCCCTCCTTCAGCTCCCCGCCATCCCGCCCCTCCCCAGCCCCACTGCATTAAGGCTCTGTATCTGGAACGCTGGGTTTAGCGTGCGAAGCTGCGTCTCATTCAGCAAAGCGGGCTGGGGGCTCACAGGGCAACCCCTGCCCCACGGACAGGCTAGCCAAGCACAAGACTTTTCTTTTCTTTGTAAAAGAAACGCAGCCTTTTTCCCATGCCGCTCTAAGATGTTACAAAGAGTTCGCTTGACTGACCGTCTTCCACCATCAAACAAAAACACGACTCCCAGATACAGAGGAAATGATCTTACTGTCCCTTTAACCACACTTCCAGTTCTGGCCGGTTTGACACTCTGAGTGTCCAAACTGGGCGTCCTACGGAGAGGGAGGGAGGGAGGGAGAGGGCTGGCTGCGCTGCCATTACATGCTAAGGTCTTTCTCCTCCTTCATGCGTTCGATGTTGCGCCGAAGAACAGTGTTCTCATGTTCTGTCTCTACCAGCTCTTGCGTGACCTCCTCCAGTTCTTCCTTCTGCTCATCCAAGAGACGCTTGGCCACACAGCGCGGCTCATCCCGCTTGGGCATTTTGACCTGTGGACACATGCCATCGGTTCAACAGTTTAACCAGCCACGGCCAGCAAGAAAAGCTGGAGCTGCTTCTGCACACAGTCATGAGCATGGAAGGAAAACCGGCAGGACACCAGGCTAAGCCTAGTCCCGAATCCGCTGTGTTGCAGATGCGTCAGAATACAGCCTCCACCTGAGGAAAATACTTTGGGGCAGCCTTTCCCCACACAGTGCCCTCCAGACAGTTTGAACTTCGGCCCCCCATCGCCCCTATCAGGATGGCTGTTGGTCAGAACTCTTGGGAGCCGTGGTCTAAGAGAGTCTGGCAGGACGTCAGGTTGGAGAAGGGCTGCTCTAGACTTGGTTTTTTCCAGCAATAATTCTGTATAAAGGGGCAGATCAAAGATGCAGCACAGTTGCTCATCTCCCTGCTTCTTTCAGCTTTGCAATTCCACCCTCTTTTCGGCTTTTAAACGGTGGGCAGACAGACGGGACAGGGGAAAGCGGAGGGTGGGAGGCAAACAGAAAGCATGTGCCCAGGCCCCCTGAGTCGAAACACGTCTTGCCTGACTCTGTACTCATCAGACACAAGAAAAGAAAGAAAGAACATCACAAATAAAGATGAAAGGAATGCTGCGGCTGACAAGTTAGGCAAGGTCTGTTTTAAAGGAAGCCATGGGGAAAACGTAAGGAGGATAACCCAGGCCTTGGGCCTCTGTCTGCTCCAGCTGGAACGTGCTTTGTCCAATGAGAGCATGAACTCTGCCACAGCCAAAACTGAACAGTGCTGCTTGAATGGAATGTCAATATCTGCAGCGCAGCCATTGTTACAACGTACCATATTGCCTGGAATAATGGCCCCCGCACTTATCGTTATAGTGCTGCAGCGGAGCAGTTGATGATTTTGCAGGGCAGAACAGTGCATTCTGATTCAGTGGGTGACCATTAATAGCAGGAGAAAGGTACAAAATTCTTCTTGAAATAAAGCACAATCATTCCATGTTCAGGTTCCCTCCAGGAGCCGCAGGACTTTTTCCTGTATAAGCATGCATAGAACTGTGCTTTGCTTTACGAACACGGTGCCCTTTGCCACGGTCCTTGTCTTGCTGCCTTTGGAAAGCTTGCTTTGGCCAATTTTCTTCTCTTCCTCACATTAAAGAGAGAGAGATCCAAAAAGCAAACTTGGGGTGGGGGTGAGGGAGGGAGGGAGGGGATCATTTTTCTCTCAGTACCAGAAAACAACAGGTTTTGATTCCACAGTCAACACAGAAACAGAGCCAGTCAGAAGGGGGCTCCCGGGCCATCTAGTCTGACCCCCGGCTCCGCTCATGACACGCCCACCATGTGCATGTCCAGCCAAGCTGGGTCTCAGGAAATTCTATCCATAATTCACCATTAACTTGTTCATCTCACTGCCCCAAGACGCTTCAGCAAGGAGTTGCCATTCCGTGGTGTTTTAAAAAGAAGGGAAAAGGGGGGATCAGGAATCCCAAGGGCACCAGGTGGGAGAGCCCATTTAGCACAACTCTGCACGCCTCACCTCGTTTTTCAATGAGCCCACAACGTTCAGTAAACTGTCGATCTTCTTCTCGTACTTGTTCATTTTGCAGTGAATGGCGTCCTCCTCGTCTGTTGAAAGATCACTTAAGCGGAGCACCGAGAGCAACTTTTCGGAATCTGGAGGAGTGATTTCCAGGCGATGGGTCGGCCCCTGACGGAAGGGGCGGGTGAGACATGAATAGGAGTTGCAAATGACCAGAAGCCAGCCTAGCACATCCTGGCCCCTTTCCGATCTTTTGGCAATCTGGAACCGGCCTTTCACATGTAGGCGGGCCCGTTTGTTGGGTGCCGATGCCGTGTTCTGATGCGTTGTTTTAACTGCACTCTATTTATGCTCATAAGCTGCCTCAAGTCCAGGTTTTCTTTGTTGAAGAGCAGGGTACAAGTCAAACGAGGAAAAAAATACCCTTGCCCCCTCAGTGGAGTGGAGAAACCAGGTCTCCCAGGAAGGACTGCGCCAGAATAGAAACTCTGCATTTCTGCAGCATTCAGAGAATGCCATATGCATGGTACCAGCACATCTCAAAATAGCCTGTAAGACAGGCCACTATTATTACCCACCCAACCTGCAGACGTTGGTGGATAAGACCAAGTCCTAGCCTGATCCTCCTCATGGGTTGTTCATTGTTCACCAGCTGTGCCTCGTCAAAGCAGCTGCATCCAGACAACGCGGTAAGAAGCCGTGGCTTGTTAACCATGGGTACGTTTCACTAACAATGCACACTCCACCTGAATGTGGGCTATCGCGTTGTCTCGACGCAGTCAACGTCACTTCTGTGAGGTTGCGCGAAGTGTTCGGGGGGGGGGGGGGTTTCTGTGGAGTTGCACAGTTGTTCTGTGAACAACTGGGCAACGGCACTTCCAGCGCGACCGTGCTGGGGAAAGTATACTCTGTTCAGAGCCGTCTCTGGACTGCAAGTGCCTTCACTCCCAGCTGCGCCTGAGGGATGCTGGGTGTCTGCACTCCAGCACTGCATCACTGCAGAGCAGCTTCTCCTAGAGGCAGGGGCCTCCTAGCGCTTGGGAAAGGACGCAACGGCGGGCCTACCTCCCACTTGTACGATGACTCTCTGCAGGGTGTTTTGCCGGGGGGCATCCAGGGGACTTTGGTTTTGACTCGAACACTGCGGTGCACACTCACGGTATCCCCTTTCATTTTCTGCTTGTGCTTTTGCTGGGGGCAGGGGAGAGAAAAAGGACACGCGTATTAGCTGCCCGAGGCGCCCGTCAAAATCATACTCCTATCCAAGCAAGCGGGTAAAGCCGGGGCCCGCCCCCCTGCTCCGCCCGGCGAGTCGTTCCAGCAGGCAGTACCACAGAGAAGGCTTCGCTTCCTACATCACAGTGCAGTCGCAGCAAACCCACTCAGGAAAAAGAAATAGAGGTACCCCATAGCTGGGAGTGTGTGGGGCACGCCGGAAGCGGCTTTGTTCTGTGTCAGGCAGGGCCATTGTGACATCACCCTTGCCCCGTGCTCTCTTATGATGCAAGGTACCCTTGGTTACCTTGCGGAGATTAGATCCAGGGTGTGCTGGGCAAGGTTTGGGCCGGGGCTGGCTGCCGCACAGGACCGCAAGCCCGCGGGGTGACACACGGCCCTCTGAGGTTCTCGCAGCCTCCTCCCCGCAGGCGTCAGCGACAGCCTGAAGCTGCCGAATGGGGAGGCGACGATCTCTCTCTCTGAGAGTGTATGAAGTGACCTGCATTGCTCAGAGCAGTTCTCTGCACCTCGGTGAGCGCACGGTTGCGGAAGGCTGGGGGAGAGGCCTCAGGCCAAGCCACACACAAAGAACTAAATGTGAGCTGCTTCTTAACCTAGAAACAACTAGGCACGTGCGACGTTGTGAAGGTGATCAGATGCAATCACGCTTTTTGTTCTAGGCGACAGCAGGACAGAGGCTCAGCCCACTGGGCTGGTGCTCCGACCATGAGAACATACTAAAAATGAAAGGGGCAGGAAAGCCCCCTTTGCCGGCAGCGCCTGTGGCTTTGCTGATCATCTGCTACTCACCACTTAACTTGCAGTGTGTTTTTACAGAAAATGGATACACTGCTTTCTTTCTCTGCATGTATTTTAGTGCTCTCACTCTCACCACAGAAGTAATCAAGACACCAGACAGCCTACTGATCTTGCCGCAGACGTGTAAAGTTCACATGCAAGTAAGAAGCAGTTTCCTCATTTTCCCCACCCCTCATTTGTTGGATAATTTGCGAGGTCCCTGCAGCCAGAACCTGCACAGTGGGAGCGGGATGTGAATTCTGAGGAGTGTGTTTGCTCCGGAAAATACGGCACTCCTGAATACAAGTGGCTTCACTATGCAATGCTCATTTCCTGTATCGAAGCAGAATGAGTGAATCAAGAGCAAAACAAGCACAAGCGTAAGGCAGCAGCGTGTGACTAAACTCTCCTCCTATTTGTTCACTGCCTCCCCAAAAGGTCGCGAGAGGCCTCGAGTGTCCACTGGTGCTCCTGGCGACACGTTTCTTGGGCAGAGCCCCGAAGGACAGCCAGCGGCACTCCCATACCTGGGGTTTTGCAGGTGGCGGTGTTTTCTGGCCCTTTTTAATATGGACATGGACAGGGGTATTTTCATCCACATGGACGTGCAAAGGGGGAGTGGTGGAGCGACTCTTCATAGTTCTTCTCCGGCAAGTGGGGAAGGGCATTCAGTGCGATTGGACAGAGGACCTGTGAATAAGACGACTGGAAGTAAGAGCAGCACCTCGCGCCGAGCCTGCCTGCGGCTCTCTGGGGTGGGAACACGTGTCCGCTTCAAGCTCAGCCCTGCGGCGGTTCCTCAGGCATGGGAGTGCACTGTTCGCACGCCAGAGGATGAGCAACACGGGGGGCCTAGACCTGCTGATCCTACATGCTGGCGCTTATGCTGAGGCTCATAGGCACTGAGTGCAGCCCGCTCCTTCACACTGCTAGCTTTCTGTGTGCGAGGAGGATTCGTTTCAGTACATGAGAAACAGCAGAGATACGATTCCTCCAGTTCTACCCATATGGGCCCAGAACAGCTGCACTCGATGCTCATTCTGCTCGTTCTGACCAGCATCATGCAAGCTTCCTTTCACCAGAACTGCCTTGCATAATGCCCTGTCCCCGAGCATAGATATGGTTCTCAGCTGTTTCTGCCTTACTCTACAGGAAGTGACATTGCAAAGAAGTTAGTATCTCCTACAGAGAATGGCCATCCTCGGATGTTATGTTCACCCACAGTTTAGCGTGAGATGCTTCTCCTTTCTCCTCCTCCAATGTGGTCACAAAGAGGAGCCTAGAAGAAGCCATTTCATTACAGTTCAGTGTGCATAATATTGACTATCATTTCTTTAAACAAACCAGCTTCATAATGAACCCATTGCCTGGGTTATTTCAAACAAACTTCAGCTAAAATTAGTAAGTTCGCTGGTTGAGATGACTTGCTCAAGTGAAACTGTAAGCAAAAGCTTCCAAGTTCTTCCTTACAGACATGGAAGCGGAAGAGGAGGAAATGTCACATTAAACTGTGATTTAGCATTATACCTGAGCCAGGCCATAATTCCCAAAAGGTATATTGCAATCATGTCCAAATAGGTCCACGAGATTTTAAGGCTAGACTAATCTGAGAACTGTGTATGCTCTAGTTCGCTCTCATTTCATATCACTCTGGAATACAGATGTGGCCCTAACAATCCCTTTTTAAAATGAGGTTGACACTAGAGCATTTGACATCTATTTCAACTACATATGCAGAGAACTCACGGAATAAAAAGCCCTTATATGAAACTTCTGATATGTAAAAACATTTAATCTCCTACCTCATGGCACAGGTATCGCTAGTATATCATCCTCAACCGCCATCAGAACTGGAGCATTTATTTATTTATTTACTTATTCATTCATTCAGGAGACTTCTACGCATTTATTTATTTATTCATTCATTCATTTAGGAGACTTCTATGCCGCCCCATTCGCCGAAGCCTCGGGGCGGCTCACATCCATAAATAAACTTCCATAAAATAATATAAATTAACAGTATAAATTAAGTCGCCCTGGCCAAAGAATAAAATGAATAAATACTATTAACAATTAAAATGACATTTGAATAAAAAGTTCTTGGCCTGGCGCTGAAAAGCAAATAACGACGGCGCCAGGCGGACCTCTCTGGGGAGCACATTCCATAGATTGGGCGCCACCGCAGAGAAGGCCCTCCTCCAGGTACTCACCCTCCTAATGTCCTTCACGGAGGGTTCCCAGAGAAGGGCCTCTGTGTACACCTCTTACCTGGCCCTGTCCTGAGGACTACTTTCTTTTCCAACTCTGAACTATAACTAGCATACGAAGTGAAAGCACAGCACAATTACATACAGCCAACAGGAGTGCCTCAGATGCTGGCAAGCAGTCTTTCTGGGTTGTGATGATTATTCCACTCTTGGTAGATGGGGATAATCTAAAGTGCATAAAGAAAAGAAGGCATTTACACAACAGAAATAATCGTGGCATTTCCTCCAGGATTCCCAAGCCAGCTACTTCAACTTTGCTTGTACAAGTAGCACAGCCAAGTGATTCGTGCAAGTTAGCCAGTCAGAAGCACCAAATGCAGAGATTTATCTCCTAGCATGGTCTGCTTTGGGCATCAAGAATTATCCTATGCTTATTGCCCCCTTCCAGCTTTTCACTCATTAAGCATATACTGACGATTTCCCCAATGCTCTGGATTACTTGTACCTCTAGCGTCCCACCCTCAAGGCCTGTGCCCACATCCTCCCATATCCCTAGGCCCCACAAGTATCCCCAGCCAGAAACTGTTCTAGTACACACACACACCGAACATCCACCACCACCCAGCACTAGCTGCAACTTTAAGACTCTCTGAGCCTCACCTTCATCTGGCAGTCAACACAAAAGCATAGAAATGTTTTAATAAATAAATAAAATAAATAAAAAAATAAAAAGCCACTCTATTGCTTAGGGTTCCCCGAATAGAGTGCCACATCTCTTAGCATGCAGAAGGTCCCTGTTTGGAGCATGCTAGGCTAAAGGGACTAATACTCTGAGTCTGTTTAAAGCTTCCCACGTATGTCCATCTCTTCAGTAGGTGTAATCACAGCAACAAAAACCAGCCAAATTCCTCCACCATCCCACCAGAGAGCCAGTGTGGAGGAGGGGTATTCGAAGGGCTAGCCACTCCTATATGAACACACAGGTTCCCCAAGATGTTTGCCGCAGGCCTTTCTTCAGGTGGGATTTTTTGGGTGTGACACCCTCGCCATTTTTTACCTGGTTGCAACCAAGCCCTACCCTTTGGGTGACATACTGCCACGCCTCTTGGCGGATCAACGGCTTTGCCACATTTTAAAGTGTCCATTTTATTTACAAGCGACTGTAGTAAATAAACACATGAGCGTGTTGACTGGCTTGTTAATAAGCTGAAAAATCAGCTCAACAGCTGAATCAAAATACACGAACATAGAAACATATTAACAGAGCGAGTCAGAGGGGGCTAAAGACTAAAACCGTTTTATTTTCCCAATGTTTTAGGATCTGATTGTTTTAATTGGGGTTTTATTGTCGGTTGGTAATTTTTAGGATGCTGTGTTTTATTCTAGATGGTTTCATTGTTAAACCGCCCCGAGACCTCGGTAAGGGACGGTCTGGAAAAGTTTTAAATAAACAAGCAGGCGGTCTCCCGGGTCGTTTGGTCTGATCCCCAGTCGGCTCCGCTCAGAACACGCCTACCGTGTGCGTGCCTGTCAAACCAACGAGCAAACCAAGCCACGCATTCACCGGTTTACATGGGGGGGGTGGGCCAGGAGCAGCCCCCGAGCCCCCAGGAGCAGGCGCAGCCTCCCCCGCCGCGCCCGGGCGCTCACCGTGCGGCTCGCATGCGGCCCCGGAGCCGCCGCCTCAGCACGTCCTCGAAGCTGTGGACGAGGCGGCGGTAGCTGCAGTGGCTGCTGCTGGCGCTGCCATGGAGACCCAGGGGCCGGGCGGGCGTCGCCGGCCGAGGCCAAGCAGAGGCGCCGCAGCCGCTGCAGCAGCCGCGGCACGGGCCGGCCGACGAGCCGCCGCAGCCGCACGACGCGCAGAGCGACTTCCGGCTCCGCCTCCGGGACGCCGCCCGCCGGTCCCCCATTGGACAATTCGAACCCCGCCGCCGCCGCGCGCGCGCTCCTCCCGCTCTCTTCTGCTCCCTCGCCCGCCCCGCCCCTCGCCCGAGGCGGGGCCGCGGCGTCACAAGCGCCCCGCCCACCCACGCGGCCGTTGCCATGGCGGCGCGCGGGACGCGAGGCGGCGCCGCGGGGCAGGGCCGCGCCGGGCCCCCTCGTCAGCGGCTCCCGGGAACGGGGCCCCGAGCCGAGCCTCTGGACCGGCGCAGGAACGGGCGGATCCCGAGCCCAAGCGCCCACCCGGGCATGGAGGCCGCTGCCCAGACCAGCCTGACCCCCTTCTCACCTGCGCCCCTAAAAATAAACAGAGTACGCAGGCAACGGGAAGGATCGGGGCCCTGACAAGCCACGGCCGTTGCTGAACCGCAGGGTTGCGTGGTGGGAACCCAACGGCACCAACCCTAGCTGGTCAGCGGTGCGCGACCCACAACCCGTGGATTGTCGCTGGGTCATGAAGTCTGGGTTGTTTGTGGTTAGAAAGCCACCGGACTTCTAGTCCAGCTGGGTTCACCATAGCCCATGAGTCACCAACAGCCCTTAAGCTGTACGCTGGTTTGTGATGCTATTTGAACCAGGTCTTGTTTTCTCGTTCTCGCCTAGCTCGCAGGGCTTTTTGTGAGGCCGAGGAAGGAGGAAACAATCGTCTGCTTGACCCCGAGCTCCTCGACAGAAAGGCAGCATCAACAAGCAGGAAAATAGCTTCTAATGTGGAGGTCAAGGTTCAGACAACACAGTAGGCCACATTTCAGCGACAACCTACAGTTCACCACCCAGCTCATACTCGGTCCTTGAGACTTACTGTGTTGTCTAAACCCAGGGTCTGTTTAAACATGCACAGGATTGCAACCCACGGTGTAAAATAAGGACACCCGCTGTTCAAATATCTTCTCTGGTGGCCCTAGAGAAACTTACTCATGCTCTGCCCCTTACTTGCCATAGGACTTATATTTGTGACTTCTGAATATTAAGGTTTGATGAATGCAACGAAAAGCCATTTCCCCACTAGAAATGCTTCTAGTGGAAGAACAAAACCAGGTCAGAGAAGAGCAGCAAAATCCATTTATTGCAAATATTGTTTCTCCCGCTTGCGATCCAGACAGAAAAACTGCATTTCCTTGATCCTTTATTTCTGAAATCCTTGTGCAGACTGGGCAGCATACAAGTTTAAGGAGGATCAGAGAGAGAGAGAGCTGTCTTTCTTCCACAATTAGTGCAAAGTTCTACATCAGAAACTAGCAATGCCCCTATGCGATTGGTTCCTGCCACGAATGCCAGGCAAACCCTGGAAAGAACTTGCACAAGACTCAAGCCCCACGGGAAGTAAACACCCACAGATCACATATTATATGGAAGAGGTTATCTTTGATGTTAGCAGAATTTGCTTCCAAATTAATCAGTGAGGTGTGGAGGAGGAGCCTTTTACAGGGGTGGGAGAAGGAAGGATGGAGAAAGAATTCTTGATGAAAAGAACCAAATGAACAAACAAAATTAAGCCGCAGTTCTCCATTTGCTTACACCAGAAGAAGCCAGCATAGAAAGCTACCCCACCACAAGAAGCCAAGAGCCAAGGTAACTAGAGTTTTCTCAGCATAGTGGTGCATGTCTCCCAGAACTACAATTTCCAGAGATTCCCCATGGTAAAAAAAAAAGTTTTGACCTATACATTGGTTTGCGTTCATACTTTCCAGATGTCCTTCTAAGTGCTTAGAGTGCTTTACAAGCTACAAAATTTCTACCCAGAAGGCAGTGCCACACAGAAATCAAGATGGCACAGGACTTGCAGTGTGTGAAATGCATGTCACGTTTTCAATGTTATTCTTAACTAGAGATAGCATTTAGAATAGGAATTTTGCAATACTTTTTGACAGTATATTGATGTACTAGATTTCACTCTTCCTAGAATTACTTCAGATGATGAGGATGCTATAGAATAAGAAACACAATTTCAAAAATGTAAGCCCCACACATTTTTTAAAATATCCGTTTCATAACAACACCTTGTCAGTTTGCATTGTTTCTTTGGGGTCCCCCAGCTGGTAACAGTGAGGTCCCAAATGCAACGGGCAGGCCAAAGACCGAAGCTCAGACAGTCCGAGATTGAGAGCAAAAGCGCCTTGTTAGACCCACTCACCCCGCGGAGTAAGACATGCTTCCTATATCCAAGAAATATCAGCCCCTCTCCCAACACCGGCACCACTCCCTTGCCACAGGCCTACTGCCATTGCTTTCAAGACCACAGAAATGTTTTCTGCAGAATGTCCAATCGACGAGGAAGACTTTTGGGGCGGGGGGGTTAGACACCTGAAAACACAATCAAATTGCCAAGGGAAAGGACCTCTTAGCCAGCAAAGCAGTCCAAATGGCTGCAGAGATACACCGCTCACAGTTCCTCGCCTCCTTAAATCAAAATTTACCTGCTGCGCATGACACCCTTAATACTTTCTCTGAACAGCTGCCATGCATCTTTCCTCTGTTGCTTTCTGGCTTTTCTCAAAGCCTGGGCAAACGCTGTGACGGGTGCCCCTTTCAGCCAGGGCTGCATAGTTGCTTTTAAATCCAACGGCTCCCCTTTGCCACCTTGTCTTCCGCGACGGGCAAGAAGGGCTCTCCGGCGGCTGCATGTCACTTGGTGGCTTTAGCTTGCCTGATGGCCGCCTCCATCTGGCAGTACCAGGGCTGGATCTTCGTGTGCGCCATCATGTCATCAAACGCTTCCAGGCCTTCCATGACGCGCAGGACGCCGTACACGGCCTGCACGGATGCAGCAAAGAGTGTCAGAGCAGGCGGGAGGAGCATCGCCACCGAGCTGGGTGTCAGAACACATGCTCTGCAGAAGGCGCCCGGTTCAGAACCCCGAAATCGCTGAACAAAAGGGGATTCGGAAGCAGGTCTGGCAAAGCACCTGGCATTAAGACGTAAGAGGTCTTTTGGGTCAGAACATGGGTCCATGTCATTCCGCTTCTTGTTTCTGACTGCTATTTGCCTAAGAACTTGGGATGCCCCATAATTATTGGGGCTCACTTCTAAAGATGATGTTCCAAATCCTGAGAGGAGGAGGAGGAGGAGGAGGAGATACCTGGGTGCCTTCCAGATATTTTGGATGATGCTGCCAGCAAAGCCCAGTCAAACATGGCTAACAGGTTGCTAAATATGTAGCGTGATGCTTAATGGATGCGACCACACTACATCCCTCCGTACCAGAAAAAGCTATTCCTTCTACTTCCTTTGATCACCCACATTTACTTCTTGAACAGGTAAACTCAAAAGGTTCCTTTACCTCAAGTGACCATGGTACTTTCCCCACTGTCCCTCCCCACACACATACTGATGCAAGCATCCCTACACCATTATAGGTTTTAATTGTGTATTTTTCCCAGCAACTGCCATGCTTTTATTGTATTTTAATGCAGTTTTAAAATCTATGTTCATTGCCCAAGCCTCCTTTTGGTGGAAGGGTGGGGTACAATTCACATTAATACAAATAAATTGTAGCTGCAAGTTGCCATCTTGGGGACCCTGTCAGTTTCAAGCTTTTCTTCCCGAAACAGTTACCAGATCATCTTCAACTTGGGGCCAGCCTGACATTTTTGACTGACAGCTTCTGGCAACCTTCAACCAGCTCTTTGGGAGTTGCACATGCTGGCACCACCCAAGAATGGATTGCTCACGCAGAACGAAACCAGAGAGAAGCCGCTGCTTCACTGCCTCCTTATCAGAAGTGGAAACCCAGTTCCAATTAAGGCTGCCAATTCAGAAGCACAGGCCACCTGTAGACTCCATGGCCAGCCGCAGCCGTAACAGACCAGGAACTGGAACAGTCCATGGCCTGGTCACGTCATCTGAACCAGAGCCGGCATCAAGGGTCAGTCTCCGCGGGCACCTGGCCAGGCCCACAGCCCTGCAGGAGGACCACCTGCTTCTGCCCACCGCTGCTCCCTGCTCACCCTCCCTCCCTCAGCATGCAGGAAGAACGAGCAGGGGGACCAGCATCCTCCCTTCTGCCTTCCAGCCACTCGTGTGGACAGCGGCTAGAGGGAGAAGGCGGAAGCAGCGTGGAAAGCCGGGTCCCACGCAGAGGTCTGAGAGGCAACGCAACAGGTGCAGCGAGCAAACACATGTCTCAAGACGTGGCTACCTTCAAAAGGCCTTGGGCTTGTTCCTTACCAAATCTGCAAGATTCGGCTGGTTTCCTCCCATGAACATCCTGTGCTTGCCGACAGCTTTCACCCAGTCGTTGGCTGCCGCATACAAATCGTCCCGGACATCATCATGCAGATGGTGCCTGCAGGAGAGAGAGAGAGTCAATGTGCTACAGTCGGGTCACTGGCTTAGTTCCTCTTTCCTGCAGTTTAAACAGGCCTTTTAAGCTGTCTGTCCTGAGGGAGGTGTGTGTGGGGGAGTAAATTAGACAAGCAACCATCTACTGATGGATCTTCCCATGCAAAGTATTGGCCATCAAAGCACAATCAGGCCTCATCAGTTGCTCGAATAGGTTTGTTGGTAATAGATCAATGGCCACTCCTGAAGGGGAGGGGTGTGCCCAGGGGAATGCCATGAAGAGTGCCTGAACTTCACAAGTGGTCATCATACCCCTGTTCCAGATTTGGAGAATGGAATGCACCATTAGCATTTAGGATAAAAAAAGCACCCCCCCCCACATTATACCAAGAGGATCAGGTTGGAAAAAAAGCAGAAGCTGATTCCAAGGAGCCACAAAACAACTGCTCCTTCTTTTGGATGGATTCAGCAGCAACTAAAATAAGCAACCTGATTTAACTTGTAAAAAATATATGTACATGAAAAGGGAGCCCAGAGTTACAGAATTCCGGTGAGTGACAACATGCACCCTCAGTATCAACAAGAAGTCGCCCCAACCTGCAAAATCGCTCAGGGGGGTACCGACCTTTTCTTTAGCCGCTTGCTAATGAAGAACATGGCAGTGGCCCCCACATACTTGGCGAAGAAGCCTTCCAGCAGGCCAAACTTGCCCTCTCGCACGATGTAATCGAAGGAGGCCAAGGCCTCGCCAGGCGTACGGTAAACGTTGGGGGAGATGAGATGCACCAGCCAGTCATCCGCCCACTTCCTCCATTTCATTTCTTCCCTAGAAGCAAGCCAGGAAAAGACGGGACATTTTCAGCATGGGATTTGGGAGGAGAAGGAAGAGACAAGGTAGAGAAACGGTGCCGCTGGGTTGAAAAGCGAGAAAAATACACACAGAGAGCTCACCTCCTATCTCACTTTGGTTGTTTATACCTCCCTCCACACACATGGCAAGATGCAGTCAATCGGTACTTGAGTTGTCATGATGTCTGGACTAGGAATGTGCAAAGCATCTGTCTGTGCAGAAAATCCTTTGGATTCCCTGCTTTGGGCCCTCTGGACTCTGGTCCATGTTGCTGCAGCCCAGAGTCAAGGTTCCTGGCACGCGTGCCCAGCCATTTGTGGGCATGTGCCAGGAACGGAGGCCGGCACAGCACACACACAGCGCCGCTCTCCCGTGTCCACCACCGCTGCCAGGAACGGGCCTGTTCCATGCATGCTGTCACTGCCACCAGCAGCAGCAAATGCGGAGGAAGGCTGGCCGCCAGGAAGGGCAGCTGGCACGCCTGCTCCCAGCCCCCCTCTTTTGCATCCTCAGCCACCCCGACGAGGAAGGGTGCCAGCTGCACAACGGGGCCCCGCGAGCATCTGCGAGCTTCCTCTTGGCTCAGCTTGCATTGCAGGGCTGGACCAAGCGCGCGAGGAAGCCTGTGGATGCTGGAGGGACAGATTCAGAAGGATCCTTCCCAGCCGAAGCATGAACTCAGGACCCTCCCTCCGCCCGCCCCAACCACACACACACACACAGTGCTACCCCCCTCAGCCAAACCTACGCTCTCGCATCCTTCGCGGGATAAACGAACAACGTCTCCTTTTCATCCAGCATGAGCCAGTATTTGTTGCAGAACTCAGTCACCTCCTTGCCCTGCTCGTTCACGGCTTTCATGGCAGGATAATATGACACTATCTCTTCCAAACTCTTCCTGCGAAAAAAGAAGACAAGAAAGCAGTCATTCCCCTCGCCCCCACCCCCTCCACGTAGAGAGGGGGAGAGTTTCTTGGAAAGCTTCACGTAAAACGACGACAGTTTCAGGCCAATTCCACCTTCTACCCAGCCATTTACCTGCTGCACGAGCCACACACATCTGGAGCCCACCACACTGGAGCAGGCTGCCTTTTGGAGAGCTTCAATTGCAGTGGATTGGGCCCATTTTTGGCACGCTATGTCAAAAGTCCACTTCCAAAACCGGGGGGGGGGGCACACTGCCAGCACCAAAACCAAAACCAAACCAGTCTCTCCAGTTCTCAGGTGTCCTCACTCCCTTGGGGCAACTGACCTTCAGACTAAGCCTCTCTGCACGCCCCCCCCCACCCCGTGTCTTTAGGATGCAGGTTCCATGCAACATGTGGTGTTACTACAGTATGGGGTGACCCCAACACCTGGCATGCCTTCTGGGAGCTTCTCCACCCTTGCATGCCCAAAGCACACGATCTGTGTTTTGGTGAAAACAGGATGAAAGTTTTATTAAGGATCCCTGGAAGGTCCAGCCTGGAGGACGGGCTGCTCAGATTCTTGGCCTCCGTCAACTTAGTGTTAGTCCAGTGAAGTCTTTCGAATAAATCATCTCAGGACAATTTTTTGAAGTTGCCCTTGTAAAAGTTTACCCCAGAAGGGACATTTAAAAACTCGTGATAGCCCTTAGTTTTGATAGAGAAGGGAGAAAGAGAAGGCCCTGTGGCATCAAGTCCACCTTCCCAAGAAACCAGCTGCCAAGTTCCAGGAGTCCCTCCAGGTTCCTTGTTTTCTCTGGGACAGCAACTAAGGGGCCGGAAAGCAACCAGATAAGGGCTGGTTTTGCCCAAGGGTGACCAGTTGCCAAATCTACAAAAGTTACCATGACGTTATTCTTAAAAAATATAGAACACATGTATCACATGGCTTTTCATGGTGCTTTATAGAAAGATTTCCTAAATTTTTAATTACTGGAAACAAGAGGAGAAAAAGTGGCATAGAATGAGCATCTCTTGTGATTTGATGAATGGCTGCGGCAGATGAATTGAGATCTGCAAATCAGCTCGGATGTACAATTGACTGCTTTTACTGATGAGCTATTGGTGGTGATGGTTGTGTTTATGAAAACCGACAGGTAATTTTTAAAAGGATTTATCTGCAAATGCACTGTTTGTTCACATGGCAACTAGTCTTTGAGGGAGGGGGCAAGAACCCAGACGATGAAAGGCAGTGAATGGAAGTCCACTCAACGCTGGGGAGCACATTCACTTACCTGGAGACAAGATAGCTTTTAATTGCACTGATTATCACCGAAGAGTCGTTCAATTGCTGGGGGTTAGAAGACAGAATTACATTAACTTTTCAAACTCCAGGATCTATCTCACAGGTTACCAAACCTCGAAAAGATCCTTGATTTCAGGTATCTTTTGGTCTTCATACCATATTTTAGAGCGTATGTTATGGTTTCATCCAGTGCCACGGTGTGCCACCCACAGGACGCTCAAGCAGCTGTTGAGCTGAGGGGCATTGTGGGGCCACGTGGGATGCACAGACACTGCATGGCTTGTGCTGCAGTGTGAGTTGTGGTGTCATCCCAACAACGTCACTGTGCGCGATCATCCTGCAATCCACCAGTAAGACCCCCTGCAACTTTCCGGCTGCTGTAACTAGGGAACTTATGGGGTTATTTAAAGTTTATTCTATTATATTTATATCCCACCCTTTTTCATCTTGTAAGGTGGGTCACATGATCCCTCTCCTTTGCGTTCTCACAGCCCTGAGAGGTAAGCCAGGCTGAGATTCACGGCCAGGTGGGCACCAGTGTGAGGATCACCAGAATCCCAGTCCAACGCTCTCGGCAGCCAAGGACTAGATCGAAGAAATGCAACACTTACCAGGTCACTCCCTGCACTGGCAAGGAGAATGGGGACTTTTCTGTACGTGGAAAATTTAATCTCCTTCCTCATCACAGGGTTGACCTCCACAATTTCATAAGGCAGCCCGTGATAATCCAGGAAAGCGCGGACCTTGCTGCAAAACGGGCAGGTTTTGTACTGGTAGAGCGTCAGCTGCAGGCTGCCTTCAGGGAGCTGGAGGGAAGGGAGACATGGGCAGTCGAGTCCCTGCTCTGACAAGGGAACTTCCCGGCCGTGCCCAGGTAACTCAGCCTTTTAATATGTGCCTCCACCAAGTAGCTGAAAAGCACACATTGAACAGGGAGTCCGCAACTGCATCCCCAGGGAAGGGCAGCTAATATCGCAATCCGACACACACGCTTACTGGAAAGCAAATCCGACTGAGCTCAGTGGGGCCTATGTCTTTGCAATTGTGCTTCTGCGGGTTTTGACCCACCCTTCTCTGGACTCAATAGGAAAAGCAGACAAGCCGAGGATTCCGCCAGCACGAATGCAATCCCATATGTAGGATCAGCCTCAATCAAACATGGCAGCGGGTCACCCCCCGTGGAATTCAATGGGCCTACTTCTGAATGAGCAGGCATAAGCAGTGATGAGGGTCCTATCGGTTTCCCCCAACCTGGCGCGCCCCGGGTCTGTTTGACTACGATTCCAAACACCCCAAATCAAATTTGGCTAACAGGCAGGGATTTGGCGATTCCTTGCCCAAAACAATTGCAGCTTGCTTTCCTCTGCGCTGCGCCTGGCGGCAGCGAGCCCTGTTGGCTGCAGTGAATCTGCTCCGGAGTAAAGATGCCGCGGGCGGGCTTCTAAGAGCCCCCCGAAACGCGACGGGGGGCTGCTGCGTGCGCACGTGCAGGGCGGCCTGCTGCAGCACCCGGCCGGGCCCGGAGGGGCGCCGCTGGAGGGCCTCGCCCAGCGCAACGGGCCCGCTCCGGGGGCCCCGCAGCCCCGCCCGGGAAGCCGCGGCCCGCGCCTCACCTGTGCCGCGGCCGCCTGCTCCGCCAGGTGCGGCTGGGCGCGGAAGCGGCGCCGCAGGACCTGCCAGACGCCGACGGTGCCCCCCAAGGCCAGGGCCGCCCCCAGCAGCAGCCGGGGGCGCGGCCCGGCCCAGCCGCGCCCGGCCCGCGAGT